TGACAAAGGGAGGTTTGACGCTCAGAAACCTATACCCCAAAGATCTGGTTGGTCTCTAAGATACTACTGGTCTTGAACGGTCCAGTGCTCCCTCTAAGCTGTGAAGTCCTGTGAGCGAGAATTCTACTTTGTGAGCTACCAGCATTAACGTTGTGAGCAGCCAGGTGATTTGGCTACTGCATCAGTTAATTTGCTCTGGGCTGGAGCCGTCCTTCCGGAGCTAAGACAAAAATGTGTGAGCCAGAGGCTAAAAAACTGTGAGCCAGCTCACACTAACTCAGCTTAGAGGGAACACTGCTTGGACCTATGCTGTCTTGTACCTCTGGATGGAAGTCTTTTCGTTGTTCAGGCCGGTGGAGGTGAAGGGTGCCTTTTCACTTACCCTCAGGTCGGTCAGCCGGTGCAGATTATCATTGCCTTGACCGCATTCTAAGGCCGTGACAAAGACTCCATCACTGCTGCCCATACCAAGAGATCCCTTCTGCTACCATGGCTTGAATCAGCCAGCGTCATTTCCCCCTTTGCTCTGGCAGCAGGTGGCTTTGCCTAGTCCGGGAAAACCAATCGCTGCTGGACGAAATGAGGAACCGATGCTTTCAGTCTGATGCGCCACAGAGGCTGAGGAAGATAGGCTGGGGTGGAGAAACAGTGGTGGTTCTTGTTCCTTTTTGCGCTCCCAGGTTGCCAGGGAGGGAGTGATAAGCTCAGTGGTCATGCTTCTAACATTTTAAAGCCTGGCTGTCATCAAGCTTGGCTGTGTGTTGCCACGAAGCGAGTTTTATACCAGAAATAATTGATCAAAATTGTATGGCTAAGTTGTTGGTATGGTAAGCCTCGCCTTTCATTGGTCTTCTAACATTTTAAATCCTGGCTGTCATCAAGCTTGGCTGTGTGTTGCCACGAAGCGAGTTTTATACCAGAAATAATTGATCAAAATTGTATGGCTAAGTTGTTGGTATGGTAAGCCTCATCTTTCATTGGTCTCGGTTTGTGGAGGCCTGAAGGCATACGGCGTGTCGGCCTTCTTTGTTGTGAGCTTTTATACCAAAAAGTTCGCCTTTGATGGGGCATTCTACCCGTTGTGTGCTTTCATTTTTTAATGAAGCTGCTTTTGAAGCAGTAGAAGAAGAGTTGCTTTTGAATACCCCGCTTTTTCTCTACCAGAAGGAGTCTCAAAGCAGCTTACAATCGCCTTTCCCTTCCTCTCCCCACCACAGGCACCTTGTGAGGTAGGTGGGGCCGAGAGAGTTCTGAGAGGACTGTGACTGGCCCAAAGTCACCTAGCAGGTTTCATGTGGAGGAGGAGCGGGGAATCAAACCCGGCTCTCAAGATGAGCACAGTCACAGCAGATGGCAGACTTCTTCGGACCTGATCAGATCAGTTGCTTGCAGATTGTCAGCTGCCGTAGTTGCCATATTAAACCAATAAACATTATGCTCTATGAACCAGAAAGTTAATCTGAAAACCATCCAGTCGTTCCCACAGCCAACCTGAGATTTGAAGCGGTGACGCTCCTGAATGTAGTCAGGGGAAGGGACATGACTCAGAGGTACAGCATCTGTTTGGCATGCAGAAAGTCCCAGGTTCAATCCCCAGCATCCCCCAGTTAAAGGACCTGGCAGTGGGTGATGTGAAATACTTCTGCCTGAGAACCTGGAGAGTTGCTGCCCGCCTGAGTAGAACAATACTGACTGTGGAGAACCAAGAGTCTGATTCAGTCTGAGGCAACTTTATGTGTTCAATGTAGTTGATAAGAAAGGAAATTTAACTTCCAGCAGGACTTTCAGATATCCTTGGTGCTCCTCAAAAGCTCGACAGCACCTAAAAATTGAAATAGTTTCTCAGTTACATGCTTGACATTGGTTATTGTGTTATTGTGGCTTGAGGGGCCTGGGCGGATAGCTTGAGAGGGGCTCAGGGATGAGGTTTCTCCTGGGCTCAAGGAGCTCTGGGGAACACCTAGAGAATATGGGCCTTGCAAGAGGCTAAGGAGTTGGAGAAACAGTACACCAGAAGCTGCAGAATCTCAGCAGAAGGCGTACCTTTTTTCCTGCTTTCGTCCTTTCCCTCGCTCGACTTGGTGATTGGTTGCAAACAGGCGTAGCGTCTTCAGGAACTTCATGACTGGCAAGGAAGACCAGTCTTCTGAGAGATGTACACCAAGAACAGCGCTGTGAAAAGTGTTCTGAACTCTCAAGCTGCACGTATGACTGGTAGCGTACGAGTGAACCAGATGCTGATATGCTACAGCCACAGTCCGTCCGTCATCCCCCCCCCCCCCCCGCCAACTAGTTGCTACCAACCTCCTTCCTCTGTTATGGAATGAAGTGCCTGCTTCCTTTCCTTGCAGCAGTGAGAGGAAGAAGCAGTGTCAGCAAGGAGGCGGGTGAGCAAGCCAGGCTACTGTTACCGCCTCTAGCTTGTCCTTCAGCTGGGAAATAAAGCCTCTTGCTTCAGAGTACCTGAAATGGAGGCAAATAGACTTTTTCATTTGCAGCGAGGGGTGAGTGTGTGGCTGCAATAGAGGCCCTTTCCGCATTTGCCTTCCACTCTGGATTTTCTCAGTGTTTGAGTCGAGGCGATTTAAGTCAACGGCTAAACGGCATCCAAAAACCAGGGGCAACAGGGAGGTAAAACACTGCACTGAGGTTCTCTGCACCCAATGCGTGTGTCTCATCCAGGTTGGGGCAGTGAAGTTCTAATGATCTGCTAAAGCAGGGGTGCCGAACTCATTTGTTACGAGCACCGGATCTGACATAGATGTCACTCTGTCGGGCTGGACCATGTGTGCCATAAAACGTAATGCCAGGTACCAGAGATATAAACTGTATAAAGGACAGCAGCTGGTAGGCTCTGAGCTGTTGTATCCTCAGTGCAAGGCCACATGGGCTGGGAGGGGGGGTCCAGAGGAAAGCCCACATGGGAGGGCTGGAGAGGCGGCAGTGCAGCACTAGGCAGACACTCCCACAATGCCTGACTGGTGCAGATAAGGTTGTTTCGCCATTCTGAAGCCACAATCGGAGTGGCTCCCCCCAGCACTCCCTCCCTTGTACCAGTTGCTCGCGGGCTGCATAAGAGCCCTGGACGGGCCAGTTCCGGCCCCCGGGCCTTATCTTTGACACCCCTGTGCTAAAGCCTGGTGAAACCTCAGGGCACTAACAGGGAAGACCCTTCAGTGGCATTTGGTCTATTGCAGAAATCACACCCAGATCCTGGTTTAAGTGACCGGGCTGGGGGGGCCGGCGGCTGATGTTTGGGGTCTGACTTGGTCCCAGATCCGCCAAACTGACCTTTAATTTCGGTTTGGCGCAAAGGCAGAGGGGATGATTGTATGGGTGGGCGAAGGGATTTGATCAGTGCCAACTGACATTGTAGCCTGCTGAGACAGTTTTGTTACTGTTTGATTAACGAAGCACTTATTGAGCAAAGCGAGCTGTGTTTGCAAGTTTTCTTTGGAAGTGGATTCTGGCGCTACCACCCCCTTCTCTTTTTGGGTGTGGTTCAACTCTTTCAAACATAAAAGGTGTGGGACATAGGGAAGCAACTCGGCTACTGCACCCTTTCCAAGCCTCCTCCTGGCAGCCCTTTGAGACGTGGCGAAGGCAGTGCATCTCAAAACTTCTGGAAGTCAGGTCACCTCCTTTCCCAAACTGTGTTTACCTTCTGCTCCTCCCCCCTGTGCGCACTCCAGTAGACATGTGCCAGCCCTCCGTTCGGTGGCTGACCACGCGGACATCACAGCGTGCAGCAACATGTTTGCCTCTGTGTGCGAAGATCTGTGGGTTACAGTGAAGGGATGTTGATTGGTTGTTTTTTTTAAGCGGGGCGTGCACACACACCCCTTTTCTCCTCTGTTTCATCACACACACACACACACACACACACTCGTGCCCGCCTCCAGTCCTGGCAATTCGAGTCTGAGAGAAATTCAGAATGAAGCTCTCTTCTCCTGGCAACGATTGCAAGTAGCTGGGTGAATCAAGTTGCACTGTCCGGACACCTGAGCTCTGTGCAGGTTACTAGGCCCTGTCAACATGCTACAAGGAAACGGCAGGAACTGAGCCGCCTCCCGTTTCCTTTAAGACCTGCTTTGCCATGAGCCTACTTCCGTTATCCCGCAAACACTTCCTACCCTACAAAAGAAGAGCACTCCTGGATGGGACCAAACATCCATCTTTTCCGCACCTTGCTTCCCTCAACACCCGGCCAAGATGCCTCGGGGAAAGCCTGCGAGCTGAGCAGGAAGGCAGCTTCCTTGTAACCCTCCGATCCATCCTGCTTCCTGTCCATCTGGCATCCAGAGCAGTGTTCCCTCTAAGCTGAGTTAGTGTGAGCTAGCTCTCAGTTTCTTAGCCTCCGGCTCGCCCATTTTTGTCTTCGCTCAGTAAAGATGGCTCCAGAGCAAACTAACGTATGCAGCAGCCAAATTGCTGGCTCACCACTTTCATGCCGGTAGCTCACAAAGTAGAATTTTTGCTCACAAGACTCCACAGTTTAGAGGGAGCATTGGTCCAGAGGTCTTCTGCCTTTGAACATGGAGGTTCCGCCGTGGACAGATCACCACACAGCTTGGAAGCCGAGGGGTTAAGGGATGATTGTTCAACTTTGGACTTACCTCCTGCGGGTTTCATCACCACCAGCCTCCTCCAGCTGAGCAGCTGCCGCCGTCGCTCCTCCCCTTTGGGTTGAGCCGGGGTTGTACAATATAATGACAGCATGCTGAGATTAGTCCGGCCTGCGAGGCGTCTGAGGAGACACTTGTGGCTTGCTAATTGCCCGGATAGACAGCCAACCAGCAACCCAGCATCCAGAGCGGCCGAAAGGACGACGGGGGAAGCCGTTCTGTCAGGAGAGGCAAAGGAGGCTGAGCGTTTGAACTTCGCCGGAGATCTGCCCCTTCTGTAAAGACTGGTGGAATGCCTGTCGCTTTAAGAGCATTTTTTGTTTAATTAATAAGAAAAAAAGCTCAAGGAAGTCCAAGGTTAATCTCGGAACAGCAAGCGTAGAAGCCTGGTGTTGATTTGAAAGCTTTGGTAAGCTGCTGTTATGCAAAACTGAACAAAAGGAATATTTAGCGGATATGCTGTGCACACGCTTTTCCCTAGGAGTTTCTGGATCGTTTCGTTAAAAACTTTTGACCTCTCTCTATTTGTTTTTGTTTTTTTACACGAGTGGATTTTTCCAGCGCCATGGCACAGGCTCCCCCCCACCCCCCTTCTTAATCAAGGCTGTCTGAAACAGTGACTATCTAATTCGGGGCCACAATGTTTTGTCGAAGGTAGCGGTTGGCCTGAAACGTGGTTTTCCCCCCTCCCCAAGGCCTTTTCCTGCCATTCACTGTTTGTTGGTCTGGCTTGCGAAGAAGAGAGCCATGAAGATTTTCCAGCACATTAGGAGCGATCACTCGTTCGGTAGCACAACCTGGAAGTGGTGAGTAATGTGAAAGAAGAAAGTATTCGCTCACGAGGAAACTTTTTAAAAGAAAGCCTAAGATGTGCTTTTGGTTTCTTAAAGAAACATAGCTGTTGCTGCGTGTCCCCTAGTGCTTAAATTTGACAAGCTCGGGCCGCTCAGTCTTCATTTCTAATTGCAGGTGTGAGGAAATGGGTATTTCTCTTTCTAAACCTGCTTCATGGCAACACTGCAACTGCCGTGCTGGGCATGTTAAGACCCTGAAGTTGGAATCTGGTTTCATTCCCCCCCCCCCACTCCCCGCTTACAAAATTAATCTCCAAAGGAATGTCTTTCTCCCTCTTTCCACATCTGAGTTTTGGAACTAGTGTTAGCTTTGTTTTTCAAAGTGTTGGCATTTTTTGGCAGAAGCCGGAGCCTTATCAGTGTACGTTCACCTGTTGTCTGCTCTAAGGACAGAGCTGTTTAGCATTCTGTATCCAGCAGGATAAAAATTAACATGTATGTAGAGGATGGGAAGAAAAGAAGGATTCATTTGTAGGCAAGTGTTAAAAAGAGAAAAATCAAGCCATCTATCTCTGTGCTGTGTTCTTGTTTCAGGAAAGGACACAAAGTTTTGGGGTTTTTTATGTGTAAAATTTTTGCATCCTGCAGTCTTCCAGTGGTGCTCACTACACCCTGCATAAAAATGGCAAAATGTCTGTCCACTGGGGTGGTGGTAACATTGACCTACCTTACATGGCTGTCCTTATGATGAAAGCGATATGCCCAAGTTCCACCTTGTAAGATTCAAATTGGAAGGCATCAAGAGAGTGGTTCACACCTCCGGACTCAACCCGTTCAGCAGAACTGCATTTCTGTGGTGGCTCATCATCCCTTGATCTCTTTCCAGAGTCAGGATCTGAACCTTGGAAGTGTCACAAAGAAAGATGAGATCCAAGAACCCCCCTCAGCAGGCGCATGATGCACTTCCTTAACCACTGGTTTCAAGGAGTCACCATATATTAATGCTTAATGAGCGGGACACACTTGTGGAGCAAAGGCTGGTGTTTCCAGACAGACCAGAAAACTATTTTCAAAAACTAAACCCTGGGAAAGGGTGTCTTGCAAAGTTTCTGACGTTCCGGTCGCTACCCATAGCAGGCAAGAGCATCCGCCGCCCCCCCCCCCCCCCCCCCCCCCACCTTCGCTACGTCCTCTCCTACTTTCCCGGGACTGAGGATGACGGTGGGATCGGCCAGAGCTCTAGTTGTTGGATGGTGTGGTGCTTAAGTTGTACCCTTTCCCAGTTCCTTTGGGCAGGCCCCATTGCATGAGCTAATTCCGTTCAGCAAAACAGAATCAAAAGTTGTGCAATCTTGGGGGGAAAATCCAAAAGAATGGCCAGAGACACTTGGAAAGGAATCTTGTCCTTAAACGTTCTTGTGAATTGAGTGTGGTTCGCAGGATTTAGGAGTAGAGGCCCAAAAAGGCATCTAAGCAGCTGCTTACTTCGAGCCACAATATCTTTGGTGCTGCCGAGGAACCACCTGCAAAAAGTCTGAGAGCTTGCAGGCCCTTCCGTTGTTGTTTTTCTTAAAAAATATTTTATTATTTTCAAAATAAAAAACAACAAACGTCCAAACGACAACGTGATGTTTTAACAAAGTGAACACAGGCCCTTCCGTTATGAAGGGTCTTGTGGCGAGGCCTCTGGAATTCTACAACTCAGCTGCAGGAGATGGCAAATGCAACAAAATAAGCCAAAATCTGTAATATGGGCATATAATGGTCCTGATCTCTCGGAAAGGGTTTCAGCAAGGTGGTAAATAGGTATGTAGCTGAGCCCCTGACCTGGGTGGCCCGGCAAGTCAGACCTTGGAAGCTGAGCGGGGTCAGTCCTAGTCAGTATTTGGATGGGAAAGCCAGTTTGGTGTAGTGGTTAAGTGTGCGGCCTCTAATCTGGGGGAACCGGGACGCAAGTTCAAGTCCCTGCACTGCCATGAAGCCTTGAGCCAGTCACACGTCCTTAGGCTAACTTGCCTCATAAGGAAGTTGTGAGGGTAAAATAGTGACGAGCCATGTCTACCTCCCCGAACTCCTTGATGGGAGACTGGAATTTAAAAAGCACTAGATAGAATTAGACGTGACAACAGCAGAACCCAAGTGGGTCGAGGGGGGGGGGGGGGGGCTTAAAACAATTGGGACTCTGGTCTATACTGCTATGTATAGTTTATTCTAAGTCGGATCCTACCGTGTAAACTCTGTACAGCTTCGTGTGCCACGGTCATACTTATGCAGTTCTTCTGTTCTTTTTGGTGGTTCCAGACTTCTAAAATACTAATGCATTGGTTATTGACTGTCCCATTTTGTTGATTGGTAGAAGAAGAAGAAGAAGAAGAGATTGGATTTATACCCCGCCCTCCACTTGGAGTCGCAGAGCGGCTTACAAACTCCTCTCCCTTCCCCTCCCCACAACAGACACCCTGTGAGGTGGGTGGGGCTGAGAGATCTCTGACACAAACTGCTCTTTTTCAAGGACAGCTGTGCCAGAGCTTGTGACTGACCCAAGGTCACATCAGCAGGTGCAAGTGGAGGAGTGGGGAATCAAACCCGGTGCTCACTCACTGGGGCTGCAGTGGCTCAGAGGTTAAGATGCTGAGCTGCAGACCGGAAGATCGGTAGCTCAGCAGTTCAAGACCCGAGTGCTGCGTGACAGTATGAACTCCTGTCTCTGGCCCCAGCTCCTGCCAACCTAGCAGGTTTGAAAACAAGAAATTGCAAGTAAATAAATAGGTGGGAAGGTAATGGCGTTCCATGCGCCTTGGCGTTTAGTCATGCTGGCCACATGACCACGGAAAAGTCTTCAGACAGCGCTGGCTCTTTGGCTTGGAAACGGAGACGAGCACTGCCCCCTAAGAGTCGGATTCAACTGGCTTTCGAGCAAGGAAACCTTTTTACCGACTCGCTATGTGAATTCACCTTGAGTCCCTGTGGGAATGGCGGACTATAAAAAAATGTAATTAAAGTAAAAGGACGTGGGAGGTGGAGGGGGGGATCTGAAACCTCCCCCCCCATTTTAAGGCCTTTTCCTCCTTTTGGCAGTTGCTTTGGCAAGGGAACAGGAGGGAGAAGGTTCTGATTTTTCATCCCTGCTGGTATGTCCTGCACTGCAAATCTCCCCCCCCCCCCAGTAATTTCTGCCAGCACCCCATCTACTTTGGTCCTTGGAGTTTCTCAGAAATTACCATGACGAGATCGAAAAAAAATGTCAGGTTTCCCCAGCCAAAGGATTTCCTGCTATTACCGATTTTTCCACCCTTGCAACACACGGTCAAAAGCATATTTGAGGCACAACCGAGACCTCGACAGCGTGCTGTTGGCCTTTGAGAGCACAGCTTAGACTCCTGTGCAGCACGCCGGTGTCGCTCATGCATGTGGGTGAGTGCGGCTGAGGATGCAAGCTGCCAAAAGGGTTCTAAGCAAACAAGCTTCCATCCCAGCCTTAATGTGAGTAATCTAATACATTTAGCTTGGTGCTTTCTGAACAGCTGGGTCGCCAATCTTACCAGAAGAGGAAATACAAAAGCAAGGCCTGGGAACTTCCCGCACTGCAACAAGGAAAAAAAATATAGACTTTATTGCACCATATTTGAAAGTTTCTGTGTACATTAAATCATATTTCTCAGTGCAGGTAACTTGCTTCCTGGGGTTACGTTTCTGGCTTTTGAGCAGTGTCAGGGAGTCGAATGTCAGCTGGAAGACACTGCTTCGGGTGGACAGTCACCTGTCTGAGTTTCTTCTTCACAAAGCAAACTCCTCGCGTGTAGAAAACCAGCATGCCGTGGAAAAAGAGGATAGATGGACTGTTTGTCCCGCGCAGGCGAATTCTCTGTGTGCAGGGAAGGGTACTTTTCAAAAAAGACATGAAATGAGCCACATGGGATGATAGTAGCCATACTTAGAATTTATGCAGTGCTTCCAGTTGTCAAAGCACCTCCCAATACACAGTTATAGCAACCTGGTATGATTAAAGGGTACGGGGAAGCTGAAGCGGTGCAAGGGTCCCTTGGCTAGGGCCCCCTAGCCAGTTTGGTGTGGTGATTAAGTGCGCGGACTCTAATCTGGGAGAACCGGTTTTGATTCCCCACTCCTCCATCTGCACTTGCTGGATGACCTTGGGCAAGCTGCAGTTCTGGCACAGCTGTTCTTGAAAAAGAGCCGTTTCTGTCAGAGCTCTCTCAGCTCCCACCTACCTCACAGGCTGTCTGTCGTGGGGAGGGGAAGGGAAAGGAATTTGTAAGCCTTTGGGTAGTGAAGGGCGGGGTATAAATCCAATCTCTTCTTCTTCTTCTACCTACTGAGTTCTCGGCAGAGGGGAAGATAGGAACTGCAGACCCTTCTCAGATCCCAGCTTTTTCTCTTAACTTTCTGTGCAACCACAGCTCCTGCCTGCATCCCGAAATGACGCCGTTCAGGAGACGTTTGATTAATTCTGCTGAATGCTTACACTGCTTACGCTGACCCATCCCCCCCCCCATGTGTCTGTGCAGAAACAAAGAAAAGGAGAAGCAAAACAACATACAGGCGCGTCCCCCCACCCGCTCCTCGTTTCTCTCAATGTCTCAGGTCATTCTTTTCTGATTGGTATTTACAGGCACATACAAGACCCAGCAAGCCAGCGGTTGACATGGAACAAACCTCCCAAGAGTGTCCTTGTTATCAAAAAAATCCGCGACGCCAGCCTCCTGCAGCCCTTCAAAGATCTCTGCACGTACCTCTCAGAGGTGGGTTGAGCTCCTTTGCTGTGAAGCTAAAACCCCAGGCAGGGAGCTGTTCCTGTTGGACGGCTTCAAGAGGGAATTAGATCAGCATATGGAGCAGAGGTCCATCAGTGGCCATTAGCCACAAGGTATAGATAGGAACTCTCGGTCTGGGGCCAGTGATTCTCTGTATTCTTGGTGCTTCGGGGGGGGGAGGGCAACAGTGGGAGGGCTCCTAGTGTCCTGGCTCCACTGCTGGACCTCCTGATGGCCCCTGGTATTTTTGGCCACGGAGTGTTGGACTGGATGGGCCATTGGCCTGATCCAACATTGGATTCCCTTATGTTCATAATTCTCAGTCTGGGGCAAGGGATGCTCTTTATTCTTGGTGCTTTGGGGGGGGGGGCAACAGTAGGAGGGCTTCCAGTGTCCTGGCCCCACTGCTGGACCTCCTGATGGCACGTGGTATTTTTGGACACTGTGTTGGCAGAGTGTTGGACTGGATGGGCCATTGGCCTGATCCAACATTGGCTTCTCTTATGTCAGTCCCCTACCCTCTGGTCTTACTAAACCATGGGGAAGACAGAATCTTTAAGCCTTGACAGCACCATCGGGACCTCTAATGCAGATGCCTGGTGACCAAACATCTGAACCTCCACTCTTATCAACATCCTTGGCCTCTAACAATAGACTTCTTCAAAGAGCAAGTGGATGTGTATTTGATGGTAGCGGCTTCTCTTATGTACTTATGTTCAGAGGATAGGAGTCACAATAAGGGGTTTAAATCAAGGGCGGGAAGGTACCGGCTGGATATTGGGGGAAACTTTTTGACAGCAAGAGTTGCGCAACAGTGGAGTCAGCTGCCCAGGGAGGTGGTGAGCTCCCCCTCACTAGCAGTCTTCAAGCAGCGGCTGGACAAACACTTGTCAGCAGGGCTATTTTTGGGCAGGAACGCAGAGAAACGGAGTTCCAGCTGGCTTCAGAGTTGGCCACGCCCACTACAGCCAAACCCTCTGCGTGCGTGGCTAGAGGGAAGGCCTGGAGAGCGATCCTCCAAGGCGGGCGGGCCAGGGCCCCCCTGGAAGGATCGGGGAGGCATTTAAATGCCTCCCCGTGCCTTCCCCAGCCTGTCCGAGGGCCGGCTTGCCCAGACAAGCCAAGGGAAGGTATGGAGTGTGGCCTAATATGCGAATGAGCTGTGCTGTCAGGGGTGTGACCTAATATGCTAATGAGTTTCTGCTGTTGGGTGTGGCCTATTATGCTAATGAGTTCCTGCTGGGCTTTTTCTACAAAAAAAGCCCTGCTTGTCAGGGATGCTCCAGGCTGATCCTGCCTTGAGCAGGGGGTTGGGCTAGGTGGCCCGTCTGGCCCCTTCTGACTTCTTTGATTCTGTGATTCTATTCTACGCATCCCGAGAATCTTCGCTTTCATTTGAAATAATAACAGTGATCAGGCTTCTGGCCCTTATGAATGTGAAACTGTCCCTGAATCTTGAAAACTCTGTCCTGTTTTTAATCCCATTCTTCTTTGGTGGAGATCGGGGCAGCGTACATAGAATCACAGGAGTCGGAAGGGGCCATACAGGCCATCTAGTCGAGCCCCCTGCTCAGTGCAGGAAAAGCCTAAAGCATCCCTGACAAAACAGTTCATCCAGCCGCTGCTTGAAGACTGCCAGGGAGGGGGAGCTCACCACCACCCTGGGCAGTCGATTCCACTGCTGAACTACTTTTAACCTAAAACATTTTTTCCCTAATATCCCGCTGGTACTTTTCCGCCCGTAATTTAGACCCATTATTGCGAGTTCTATCCTTTGCTGCCAACCAGGAACAGTTTATTTATTTATTTATTAGATTTTTATCCCGCCCTCCCGCCGAAGCGGCTCAGGGCAGCTTACAACAATTAAAAACCAGTAAAAATGTATACAGTACATCTAAAAACAATCAATAACAACCAATATAAATTATTAACAGTAAAATTACAATTAGAGCAGTACAGTTTACACATGGCGGCCATCCATATAAAGTGCTAGAATGATTGATCTGGGCTATTAAACGCTTGACGGAACAGCTCAGTCTTTACCGCTCTGCGGAATTGGTGGAGATCCCGCAGAGCGCGGATTTCGGTTGGGAGCTGATTCCACCATACTGGTGCAGCTAGGGAAAACGCCCTGGTTCTTGTCACTGTTAACTTAGCGTCCCTAGGGCCAGGGGGGACTAAACGATTCTGCAACTCAGATCTCAGTGTTCTTGGGGGAACATACGGGAAAAGGAGGTCCCGCAGGTTTCCTGCCCTCCGCTAGCTGACAGCCTTCCAGAGACTCATAGAGAGCAACGATGTCCCCCCTTCAACCTCCTCTTCTCCAGACTTGAACGTGCGCAAGGCCTTCAGCCTTTCCTCGCAGGGCTTCTTGGTCTCCAGGGCCCCCGGTCATCTTCGTCACCCTCCTCTGTACCCGCTCCGTTCTGTCCACGTCCTTTTGAACACGATTCTCTTTACCTTGTCCTTTCTGAACGTGGCTCTCTCCAACTTGTCACCCTTATTAAAAAAAAAACCTGTGAGATAGATAAGGTTGATTTCCCATTTTTTAAAACAAAACGAAAACCAACCTAATTTAGCAGCTCTGGGGCTGCTTGAAAAGAGGGGAAGTGGCACTTGCCTAGAGACGGGGGTGTTCTGCCTCTTTCCTTCCTTGCCTCTTCCATTCCACTAAATCTCCACCCCCTGTAGAAGGAGGTGGAAGACGGGTATGGCATCTCCACCTCTCTCCACAAACACACACGCCCATTTAATTCCAGCTTCAAGGAACTTGGAAAATTTACATCGGAGAAGTGGCAAGGGAAGAAAGGTTTAACACACACACACCCCTCCACATTCACACACTTCATTATTCTTCAAAACAGCCATGTGGGGCTGCTAATTAGTTAAAAAAAAAACCCATAAACACTTCGGGAGATCCCGATCAGAGTTTTCACACGTACTGTCTCCTTCGTTTCTGGTAAAACCCACAGAGTTTATTGCTCCACGAAAAAGCACGTGGGGCTGGTCAGACTGGTTTTGCCTTTGTGGCTGTACCCATGCTGCAGTGCCCCGGGAGAAGCATGTTCTCCAGGATGTTCTCCTTGCGGGATTTGCTTTATTTTTCATCTGTATCTCTTGCCTTTCCTCCCCCTGGCAGCATGCAGAGGCCTCCCAGCCAGTCTGCCCTCCAACCACTGACCGGGCACAGTCCTGCTTCATTTCAGCAAGCTTGCCCTATCAAATCATACCCAGAAGCCCCATATATGTCCCACGGGGAGTTACACTCAATTTTCTGGCACTTCTCTTTTTGTGCCTTTTGGTGATGCCTTGTGAAAGGTCTGCTAGTGAGTACAGGATCTGTCGCCGCTTCCCCCTGAGTCTTTAGAAATTAACACATGAAGCTGCCTTATACTGAATCAGGTCCTTGTCCCGTCAAAGTCAGTATTGTCTACTTTGACTGGCAGCGGCTGTCCAGAATCTGAGGCAGAGGATCTTTCCCATCCTCTGATCGTTTTAACTGGAGATGCCGGGGATTGAACCTGGGACCTACTGCATGTAAAGCAGATGCTCTTCCACTGAGCCACAGCCCCTCCCCAAAGAGTAAGGATACACATGAATACATATGAAGCTGCCTTATACTGAATCAGACGTTTGGGCTATCAATGTCAGTATTGTCTACTCAGACTGGCAGCAGCTCTCCAGGGTCTCAGGCAGAAGTCTTTTACATCACCTGTTGCCTGGTCCTTTTAACTGGGGATGCCGGGGATTGAACCTGGGACTTTCAGCCAGCCAAGCAAATGCTCTACCACTGAGCCACGGTCCCTCCCAGTTAAATCTGTTTTTAAATCAGCGCGGCAGCATACATTAATACATCATGCAGTGGACCTTGGCCATTCTGTAGGGGAGGCAGGCAGGTGGATTGAGACTAGGGGTGATGCTAGCCAGGGATGGCTGCAGATAATTTGCAGGCACTTAAGCACAGAGGCAAAAAGGAGCTGCGGTGGCTCAAGTGGTTAAGACGCTGAACTGCAGGCTGTGGAAGGTCAGTAGTTCAGCAGTTCGAGACCCGGGTGCCGCATGATGGAGTGAGCTCCCATTTCTAGTTCCAGCTCCTGCCAACCTAGCAGTTCGAAAGCAAGAAATTGCAAGTCGATAAATAGGTACCACTTCGGTGGGAAGGTCACAGCGTTCCGTGTGCCTTGGTGTTTAGTCATGCCGGCCACATGACCACGGAAACGTCTTCGGACAGCGCTGGCTCTTCGGCTTTAAAACGGAGATGAGCACTGCAACCCTAGAGTCGGATTCAACTGGCTTTCGAGCAAGGGAACCTTTTCCTTTACCTTTTAAGCACAGGGGAATATAGGACAGCTCCCTTTCCCTCCTCCCCTAGTTTTATTGCTTATTTTTCCTTACTAGAGAAATACTGAGCAATATTCATACCATATCTTGATTAAAATTTGGGGTGGGGGCAGACAAAATTGGGGTGTTCTGGGAGGATGCATCACCGTCAGTCAGACATCCCCGTTTTTAAGTGGCTAGGCCGTCTCTCATTCGTTAGATTGTTTTATCCGGTTCGCTCCCTCTGCTTCTCCTGCTTAGGTGAACAACATGATCGTTTACGTAGAGAAGAAGGTGCTAGAGGACCCGGCCATCACAAACGACGACAGTTTTGGACCAGTGAAGAAAAAGTTTTGCACTTTCAGCGAAGGTAGCGGTCACACTGTCGGACGCCAACTGCCTTGAGTCGGGGGGGACCAGCGTTCCCTCTAAGCCGAGTCAGTGTGAGCCGGCTCACAGCTTTTTCGCCTCCAGCTCACACGTTTCTGTCTCCGCTCAGGGAGGATGGGGCTCCAGAGCAAACGAATCGATGCGGGAGCCAAATCGCTCGCTCACAACTTTAACGCCAGTCGCTCACAAAGAAGAATTTTTGCTCACAAGACGCCACAGTTTAGGGGGAGCCTTGTGGGGCAATTTAACCCCCTGCTCTTCCAGCACCCTTTCCCAAACAGAGAGCCACCATCCTTCTCCGCTGTTACCTCTGCTGGGGGTGGGGGGGAAACGTTGGTTGTCTATTTTTCTTCCTCCATTCTGGGGCTACAGGCCACTCATGGGTGGGGAATTGTATCTGGGAAATGGGGTTTCCCTCCCCTCTTCACCCTCCTTAACACTGAAGCCCCAATCCAAAGCTTTACTTTTTTCCCGCCTGCATCCCCACGGCTGCCTCTTTGGACTTCCATCCAGTGTTTCCTCTAAGCTGAGTTAGTGTGAGCCGGCTCACAGCTTTTTAGCCTCCGGCTCACACATTTCTGTCTCCGCTCAGGGAGGATGGGGCTCCCGAGCAAACTAATCTATGCAGTAGCCAAATCGCTCGCTCACAACTTTAATGACAGTCGCTCACAAAGGAGAATTTTTGCTCACAAGAGCCCACAGCTCAGAGGGGGCATTGGTCGGGAGTCCTGCCCCGTGTGTGTTGGAACAGCACCTTCCTCCTTAATTCCTGATAAGTAAGGACTGTCTGCAGTGGCTCAGTGGGGGAGGGGGAAAGGGTTCTGTACATGTCTGGAAGTCTTGGTCACGGCTGGTTGCTTAAGGGACGTGCTCCCTCTCCCGTAATGCTAGAGCTTAGGGGACACACAGGGAAGTTGATGGGGAGTAGATTTGGGACAGGCCAAAAAAAAGGGGGGGCAAATATTTTTCTTCACACAGTACGTAAGTAGCTTATGGGACCCCTTGTCACAAGCTGTAGGTCAGTGATGGCGAACCTTTTAGAGACCGAGTGCCCAAACTGCGACCCAAAACCCACTTATTGATCGCAAAGTGCCAACACGGCCATTTAACCTGAATACTGAGGTTTTACTTTAGAAAAAACAACCCATACATTAACTTAAGATGATCCAAACAGAGTAAGGAAAGCAATCCCAAATGCTTTCATTGACTTAAAATTATTTGGCAGAGAATTCGACACTTTAATGAGGGTCTAGGCTTGGCTGGGGCGATGGCACGCGCGCCCACAGAGAGGGCTCTGAGTGCCACCTCTGGCACCCGTGCCATAGGTTCGCCACCACTGCTGTAGGTATATGCACTAGCTTAGATCCAAACGACCCCCTGCATCTTCCACATGATCGCCATGGGGACTTGCAGTAGGATGTAGTGGCAATTCCCTGTGGAAGCTCAATTTAGAAGTGCCACAGGGACCTGATTCAGATCAGGACTGTGGCACAGGGGGAGGCGAAGCTCCTGCCTTCCCCCGTGCCATTTCCCCAAAACAGCCACTGGGGGGGGGGAGGCAGTATTTGTCCCAAAAGGGCAAGCTGCACTTTTGCCAAACAAGCAGGTAGCACCTTAGAGAGCAACAAGATTTTCAGGGTAGAAACCTTTGAGAGTCAAAGCTCCCTTCGTCAGATATTAAAATGCTCACAGATAGAGCCTTCCAGTGGACAAATAATGCTCCCAGGGTTGTTTAAGTTAGGGAAATGGAACAGGGGGGAGGCAGGCGTCCCTTGTCCCTGCGGTCAGTGCTCCCTCTAAGCTGTGCGGTCTTGTGAGCAAAAATTCTACGTTGTGAGCTGCTGGCATGAAAGTTGTGAGCGAGCGATTTGGCGGCTGCATAAATTAGTGTTCTCTGGAGCCCTCCTTCCTGAGCCTGGGACAAAAAGGTGTCAGCCGGAGGGTAAAAAATGGTGAGCTAGCTCACCCTCACTCAGCTTAGAGGCAGGGCTGGCCCGAGGGTTTTTTTGCACCCTAGGCGGGGCTACCTTCTGGCGCCCCCCGCGCACCCAATTATGGGGTTGCCAACCTCAAGGGCGGAGCCTGGAGAGAAGGAAATCCTACTTCTGTCCCCCTTTAGGTAAGCGAGGAGGAGGTGGCGAGGTTTCCAGGCACCCAAACCAAAACACCCCACATTTCGATTTACAAAAGCTGACCCCGGGCGGAGGGGGAAGGCGAGGCGGCCTTGCGCTCCCCTTTCGCGTGCCCCATGTCATGTGGCTGGGAGCAGCAATAGCACATGGGCTTTTGGCGGGGGGGGGGAGGCACAGTTCGGCACCCCATCCAGGGCCTGGCCCTCTAGGCGAATGCCTAGTTCGCCTAGTGGGTGAGCCGGCCCTGCTTAGAGGGAACACTGCCTGTGGTATGGTCTCAATCCAAGCCAGGCCGCTGCCTTGCTTTTAAATTGAGTTCCCTGCTTTCCTTCTGAAAAGTCCCCATGGCTGTCACGTTGCAGACGTGACATGCAGCTTGGCCCTTAGAGATGGCTTTTTAAAAGGGTTAGATGGAACCCTGGCGGGGAGGTCAATCGATGGCTGTCAGCCAGAAGGATGAAATGGAACCTCCGTGTTCAGAGGCAGAAGTTTTCCAAATATCTGTGCTGGGAGGGAGGTGATAACAAAGGGAGACTTTTGGCCTCTAGTTGCTTCTCCTTGTGTTTCTGGGAGCATCTGGTATTTCCACTGTGGGAAACAGGATACTGGGATGGATGGACCATTGGGATGTTCCAGTTTGGTTCTCCATTTATTCCATAAATGAGAGGGATGCCACTGAGTTGGCTTGGTTGAATGGTAAGGGTTAGGCTAAAAGCTCACCGGTCTCCAAAAAGGTTTTTCCACACCACCGTCATTTACAGTACTGTATTTCCATCGGTGAACGGGACTTAATTTCTTTCAAACTTTCTTATTCTAGATTATGATGATATCTCCAATCAGATAGATTTCATCATTTGCCTGGGAGGTGACGGGACCCTACTGTATGCTTCTTCGCTCTTCCCGGTGAGTTGAGACTAGTCCGGTTGATTTTCTCTCCTGGGCCAATCCCATCTGATAGTTCGTTTTTGTCTATTTACAAAGACATCCCACTTTCTCTTCTAAAAGAGTCTGTGCTTCACGTTGCTACGAAAACCAGCCTGAAACTTGCAAAAACATAATAAAACGATACAGTTATCACAGCATGGGCAGTGTCCAAGCCACAGAGCAGAATAAAGACAATGGCTCACTGTTTGCTATCCTCCGATACCCTCCACGATAGCGGCTCTTTCTGCCAGGGTTCGGCCTCCAAGGCAGCTTGCGACAGATATTTTAAAACAATTCATCTCAATAAAGTAGGACAATAAAAAAACAAGCAGTTCTGGCAACAAATAAAAATCCATTGAAATTAAAGCATAGCCCCCGATCAGATCAGATAGGGGAAATGAAAAACTTTTAAAATTAACACCTAAAGCGTAACATTTTAAGTGTTTGGTGCATATGCATTCCCCAGATCAGATGGGGGAAATGAAAAACTTTTTAAATTAACACCTAAAGCGTAACATTGTAAGTGTTTGGTGCATATGCTGGGACAGTGCGGGGGGAGGGTCTTACACAATCCAGTTGCCACCATGAAGTAACACCCTGCTTCCAGTAGCCCCCCACCTCCTCTCTAGGATGCATGCAATTGGCTCATGCAGGCGTTCGCTTTCCCATGATTATCTAATTCCCAGTTAATGACTCTGGGCATCCCACAATTAAGAAGGGTAGATCTGTCCATCTGCCTCAGATTTTCATATATATTGATTTCCTTCACTGTGTTTCCCTCCAGAATTAAACCCAAACAAATGGTGACCGTATAAACTAAGCTTCTTGTTCCAGTTTGGTCCTGGCATCTGTTAAAGTTAAAGGTTCCCTTTGCTCACAAGCCAGTTGAATCAGACTCCCTAATCTGGGAGAACCGGGTTTGATTCCCCACTCCCCCACATGCAGCTGCTGGTGTGACCTTGGGTCAGTCACAAGTTCTTTCAGAGCTGTTCTCTTACGAGCAGTCCTTGAAAGTTCTCGCTGCCCCGCCTACCTCACTGGGTGTCTGTTGCGGGGAGAGGAACGGAAAGGAGATTGTAAGCCACTCTGAGACTCCTTCGGGTAGTGAAGGGCGGGGTATAAATCCAGTCTCCTTTCCCTCCTCCTCCTCTTCTTTTTCTTATGAAATTGCATTGTGTATGGAGTCAGGCTGTCTGGTGCAGCCTTGACTGGCAGCCACTCTCTAGGGTTTCTGGCAGAGAGAGGGCTCTTGCTTGCATGTGTCAGAACCCACAGCTCACAACGAAGTACACGCATTCAGAAACGGTTATACTTTTATTGCAAAGCTATAGATGCAGTAACATAGTCACAGTTAGGAATGGCGGCAAACCATAAAACCAGGTGGGATATAGGGCATTCGTATGCACCCCCCACCCCCCATAGCATGGGCCAATAAGGCACCCTTCCGTGCGCGGGCAGACTTAGGTAACCGTTAGGTGGCGAAAGCTGGGAACCGGGAATCTCTCACGAAGGATGAGAGACCTCTAGGCAATACAACGTCCTCCTGCACATCTGTAGAGATAAGTGTTACAGCCAAGGGATAGCGAAAGGGAAAGGAATGCAATAGCTATTAACAAGACACAGAATAACCTTCCCAACCCCTATGGCAGCATAGCTGACAGCATGCAGCTCGTGTGGCGTTTCCACCGTTTCTGACCACTGTTGTCATTTTCTTGTGGACAGGGCAGTGTACCTCCGGTTATGGCTTTCCACCTGGGATCGCTTGGATTTCTTACCCCCTTCAATTTTGAGAACTTTCAGTCTCAAGTCACTCAGGTCATAGAAGGTAAGTGCTTTGGTCAATCGTGCGAAGGCATAACTTAATACTGGCCCTTGACCTTTTTGGCTTCGAAGCTTAGTCTATCAAGGACAGGTCCCACATGAGATATGGTTTAAGGAAATAAGGGCTAGTCCCTATATTAAATGTAGCAACTCTTGAGAAGAGTCTTTAGAAACCAGGAAAATAACATTACAACATAAAGAAAATTCATACACCATACCAGTTAACGTTGCTTCTGAGGAAGTTAAGAGACGAAACCAAGCATAAGCCGGCTGCTTTGTCAAGAAGCTCTACATTCTTTTGACTGTTAACAGCACGTGTTTTGGAATTCCACTAGTATCTTCTAGCGGTTGGCAGCAATTGATATTTTGTTGTATTACCGTGTTATTGTATAACATTAAGATATTGTATGATTAGGTTGTATACCTTGTGAATATTTTGTATACTTAGATACTATAATCAAGTATAAAAGTAACTGTATCAGCATACATAACTAATGTTTAAGAGTGTATTATTGGACTGATATTGGCCCCAGTTTTGTTGTCTTTGGACCTTGATTTAAAGCGACAGAAGCCGCTGCCGTGTGGATTCCACTTCCAACACTGTATATCCCGAGTCTCAGAGGCTAAATTCAGCGCCCTCTCCTTGCCAGTTCAGGTCGTCCTGGGCCATCTGAGTCGGGGCCATCCGAGTCAGGTTGCTTTTACTTTTAAAAAGATGCCGCTTCAGCCTATCCTGTCCCCATTTGTAGGCAACGCGGCACTTGTTCTCCGGAGCAGGCTCAAAGTGAAAGTGGTCAAGGAACACCGAGAGAAGAAGACGGCGATCCAGAACGGGATCGAAGAAAACGGAGTCATGTCCCCGAGCCTAGAGAAGGAAATGTTCAAGCAAGTCATGCAATATCAGGTTAGTGGCTTGGAAAAGGAGGATCGGGCCGGGAGTTTGCTTCCTCTTTAAACAACGGAACCTAAAGCTAATATGAAAGGGTTGGGGGAAGGGAACAGAAAGTTCCAAAACTGAGAAAGTGGTATGGCTGGACTGCTGGGTGGGGAGATCTGGGGTTGATCCGTCAGGGTCTGCCTGACTGATACCTGTCACATTTTTATCCTGCCCTTCCTCTCAGGAATTCAAAATAGCATGCCTGTTATCCTGGCGACAACCTTGGGAGTCAGCTTAGGCGGAGAGGGAGAAGGGACTGGCCCGAGGTCGTTCAGTGAAGGTCAAGACTGCCGTGGGGATGTGGACACAGCAATGTAACGCTCTAGCCCCCACACCTCCCTGGCTCCCAAATCCTCTGCTCAGCTGCTAAACGTACTGGGTGACCTTTGGCCTGTGCCTCTCTCGTAGCCAAACCTACTTCGCTGGGTTGTTGCGAGGCTAAAATGGAGAGGGTGGTGCCCTGAATGGCACCCCTTTGGACAAAGAGTGGTGGAGAGATGCCGCCAAGCGTATGGATGAGCGCATCCATACAGATCTGCTACCTCTCCCTCCTCCTCTCTCTCCCCGGGGGCAGCACTATAGCAGTTGTATGGGCCATCTTAGGAACAGCTGGAATTGTTTTTATTGATATGTTCAACTCTTACATACGTTCTATTTATTGTATGTTGGAACCAGCGTTCCCTCTAAGCTGAGTCAGTGTGAGCTAGCTGACAGTTTTTTAGCCTCCAGCTCACACCTTTTTGTCTTCGCTCAGGAAGGAGGGCTCCAGAGCAAACTGATTTCTGCAGTAGCCAAGTCGCTCGCTCACAACTTTAATGCCAGTGGGTCGCAAAGTAGAATTTTTGCTCACAGGACTCCACAGCTTAGAGCAGTGGTTCTCAACCTTCCCTTTAATGCAGTTCCTCATGTTGTGGTGACCCCCAACCATAAAATTATTTTTGTTGCTACTTCATAACTGTAATATTGCTACTGTTATGAATCGTAATCTGATATACAGGATGTATTTTCATTGTTACAAATTGAACATAATGAAAGCATAGTGATTAATCACAAAAACAATTTGTGTTTTCCGATGGTCTTAAGCGGCCCCTGTGAAAGGGTCGTTCGACCCCCAAAGGGGTCGCGACCCACAGGTTGAGAACCGCTGGCTTAGAGGGAGCATTGGTTGGAACCTGCTCTGAGCCCCATATTAGTGGGGGAGAGCAGGATAGAAATAAATAAATGAGATTGAAATAAATAGAATTATGTTTATCAGATTATATTCTCCTTGAGCTGTGTTTTTTTTATTATTCTTCAGGAATGGTTTAGTACTGAGGCCTCTTCCTGTTGCGTCTTTCTCTGATTTGTGTATTGACATTAAAAACCCAGTGGAGTACATGTAAAAAACGAAAGAAAAAAAACACCTTAGTATTCATTTGAAATGTGTAGCAGCTTCTTTGCAAGCCACCTTGAGTGCTGACAGTTAAAAAGCAAGATTTCTTTTTTAAAAACCCTGATATGCCGAAAGCAGTGTACAGATGAAGTCAATGGACAAAATTTCTGTGTTCAAGACAGCTGTGTCAAAATATTTAACTCCTGTTGTAAGTTACCAACTGGAACATATTTGCTGTCGGCAGGTCCTGAACGAAGTCGTAGTCGATCGGGGCCCTTCGTCATATCTTTCCAACGTGGACGTCTTTCTAGACGGGCATCTTATCACCACCGTGCAAGGAGATGGTGAGTCAGTTTCTGCTTGCCGAAGAAGCAGAGCTGCTTTCCCGGTCTGGAATGGAACTGGGACTCAGTGGCTTGCTTTTACAGAACACTTAGTGGGGGGGGGGGGGGTGGCCCGGTGCGCTAACACTTGTCTTCGAGGGTGTATGGAACAGAGGCGCTCATCATCTTAGAAACTTTTGGGATTTACATAGATTGGGATTTTTGTGGATTTACATAACATTAGCAAAAAAAATAGTGCTTGTGTGCGTCCCAAGTGTTCTCAACGGATCCTAGTAAGCTTGGCGCTACTTATCCTTGTAGTGCAGCTGGGGAGGCAGGGGTGGAAGCAGAAGAGAGCGTGGCTTGTCTTACCTGCTCAGTTTGGTGCAGTGGTTAGGAACACGGACTCTGATCTGGGAGAACCGGGTTTGATTCCCCACTCCTCCACTTGCACCTGTTGATGTGACCCTGGGTCAATTACAAGTTCTTTCAGAGCTGTTCTCTCAAGAGCAGTCCTTGAGAGAGCTCTTTCAGCTCCACTGACCTCACAGGGTGTCTGTTGTGGGGAGGGGAAGGGAAACGAGATTGTAAACTGCTCTGAGACTTCTCCAAGGTAGTGAAGGGCGTGGGGAATAAATCCAATCTCTTCCTCCTCTTCTTCTTCATGTTCATGGCAGAAGCAAGATTTAAATGGGGGCTTTTGAGGTTTTTGCTACAATATTTTAGCCATTCTGTTCTGCTGTTGCTCTCAAGTACCTCTGTTCTGGTTGTTTTACCTGTGAACCTTGATCTCTTTTGGCTTTGTTTATGGAACGAATGGAAGCTTCCTCACACTGTCAGATGATGAGCTTAGCTCTGTATGCTTTCAAGGTCACTGGTGCTCCGGGATCCAGGGCAGAGAGAATCCTTCCCAACAACAGCCGCCTGATAAGCTTTGACGGCCAGTGCCAGGAGAAGGAGCTTAGGAGGCGAACTGCAATCTTTTGACACAGTAGTACTTCAATAACCCCTGAGCCTTTGTAGTCCACACGTGCATTTCTGAGTAGCAAATCCACCCAAGTGGCCTTGGCCAAGTTTCTCTCTCTCATCCTGGACACCATTGAAAGACAGGCGTTCAACGCACACATCTGTATAATGGGCATAACAATAACCCCTGCCTCACAGGGGTTACTGACAGGTAGGCCTGCAACCCACTAAACCAAACTGAACCCGCCAGCTGGGAATGGTGGCCTTCCAGGGCTTTGACAGGCACACGCCGATGCCAGTTTTGTAGGTCCTGGCAGCAGCAAAAGAAAAATAGTTATTAAAAAAAGATTCACCAATTCTATAGACTCATGGAATTTTGACTGCAACAAAGATTAAAGCCCACGTCCTAAAATGTGCTTGCCATCAGTTTAGATTGATGCATTTGAATATTTACACATTATTGATGCATTTGAATATTTACACTTTATTTATCCAATTTAGCCGGTTTGGTGTAGTGGTTAAGTGTGCAGACTCTAATCTGGGAAAACCAGGTTTGATTCCTCACTCCTCCACATGCAGCTGCTGGTGTGACATTGGGTCAGTCATAAGTTCTTTCAGAGCTGTTCTCTCAAGGGCAGTTCTTGAAAAAGCTCTCTCAGCCCCACCTACCTCACAGGGTGTCTGTTGTGGGGAGGGGAAGGAGTTTGTAAGCCGCCCTGAGACTCTGAGTGAAGGGTGGGGTATAAATCCAATCTCCTCCTCCTCCTCTTCTTCATCTATCCATCCATCCATCCATCCATCGGAAGTTTTCCCTTTTTATGGCAGATGAGATGTTCTGCAAAGAATTGTATAAATTGTGTCCTTGGCTCTTGTTTTCTAAGCTGTGTACCCGGTGGTGTGTATGAGTAGCTCAAATGGTGTATCTGTTTGGCTTTACTTCTGCAAGGTGACTTTTATGTTAATGTTGTCTCCTCGGCTGATTAAAATTTGCAAATAATAAACATTAAAAAAGGAAAAAACTGGGGACCCTATTTGGGTTGAAGGGGGGGCAGGGGAGGGGCTGTGGCTCAGTGGTGAAGCCTCTGCTTGGCACGTAGAAGGCCCCGTGTTCGATTCCCGGCATCTCCAGTTAAAGAGGACCAGGCAGTAGGCGATGCGAAAGACCTCCTCCTGAGACCCTGGAGAGCGGCTGCCAGTCCGAGTAGAGGATACTGACCTTGGTGGAGTGATGGTCTGATTCCGTATAAGGCAGCTTCATGTGTTCATATCAATGTTCTAAATAAATAAATAAGCCTATGATGCAGTTGGTGGGCTGCATTGGCTTGGGGACATCACCAGATCTACAGGAAAGGGAACGGCTTGATCTGCCCTGACCCCAGAGAATCAGAGAGCCACGAATGCAAATGACTCTTTCTTTGTTCGTTCCTCGGCATCAGGAGTCATTGTCTCCACCCCAACGGGCAGCACAGCATACGCAGCCGCGGCGGGAGCCTCAATGATCCACCCGAACGTTCCAGCAATCATGATCACCCCCATCTGCCCACATTCGCTCTCCTTCCGGCCCATTGTGGTTCCAGCTGGAGTTGAACTAAAGGTTGGTCCCTTTAACTTTCTTCCCTTGGAACAAACAAACACACACGTACCAACCTGAGCCAGGTGTTACATAACCAGGGGTCATTTCGTAGAAAAAGAGGTGCAGGAGCTCATTAGCATAACTTATTAGCATAACTTATTTGCATATGCCACACCCCCTGACATCACCGGAAGTGTGTCAGAAGGCAACACCCACCGCTCAGGCTCCACTGGACTGTTTTGGATTGCTAGCTATGGGGGGGGGATGTGCAGATCTGCCTTCACAGAGGAGGGAGAGCTTGTACCTGAATAAAACTTGGTCTTAAAGGTGCCACTGGACTGTTTTGGACCAGGGAGCCGGGGTGGGGGGGGGAGCTCTGCAACTTACCTGGCTGCTTCTTGCTCTGACTGAGGGCTGCTGAGAGCAGGGGGTGGGGCTTGTTGCATGTGCCCGCCCCCTGGGCTCTTAACTGCTGTAGCTCCGCTCCTGTGCGCTCCTGCAGGAAATGACCCCTGTACATAACTAAACAAAGCAGCCCACGTATTGTGCCCAAATACGTTTAAATCTCATGGAAATATCGTGTTCTGCTGGAGCAGTTAGCAGCTCTGTCCATAAAGGAGCAACTCAAGGCTTCTGGTCACCCAGCCGGTTCTCTTGGAGATCTGTTTTGAGAACCCCCTGAGCTGGCAAGCTCTGCCATCGTTTTTTGTAGGCTGCTTTGTAGGTTAAGACACTGAGTTGCAGACCGGAAGGTCTGTTGCTCGGCAGCTCGAGACCCGAGTGTCGCGTGATGGATTGAGCTCCCACCTCTGGCCCCAGCTCCTGCCAACCTAGCAGTTTGAAAGCAAGAAATTGCAAGTAGATAAATAGGTACCGCTGCAATGGGAAGGTAACAGCGTTCTGTGCACCTCGGCATTTAGTCATTCCGGCCACGTGACCACGGAAACATCTTTGGGCAGTGCTGGCTCTTCAGCTCGGAGACGGAGATGCGCATCGCCCCCTAGAGTCGGATTCGACTGGCTTTTGAGCAAGGGAAACCTTTCCCTTTCCCCTCCAGGGGGGCAACTGAGATGCCAGACAGCAGCTCCAGAGCAAGAGCCCCTAACCTAGAGGCCAGGCATGTGTCCCAAAATCTTCCAGTTGCTGACTTGCAATTCAGAGGCTCTTGCCTTGTGTTATTTTGTCTGACCAAGGAATTTTAAAGGGTGTGGGGGAGAACAACCCTTTTGTTTGTTCACCTTATTATCTGACACCTAACACACAAGGAGAAAGCAGCACATGCAGCAAAGCAAAAACAACTCTGTCCAAAAAAATTAATTTAAAAATTCAAAATTTTAAAAATTGTAGGCTTTTTTTTTTAAGCTGGGCAAAGGCAAGTTGTGAAAAAGGGTTTTAACTGCCTTCAGTCTTTCAGATGACGATTTTACTTAAGCTCAGACATTTTGGCTATTTGCTAAATTTTGTTCATCTGATCTTCAGTGTTCATGTTTGCTATAAGATTCTGTTTCTCGTTTTGGCTGCCAAAATAAGATCTAAAACAATGCTTACCAAGTCGGAAATGAGACCATAAAAGAATGACCTTCCAACTTCTTGGGAGCTGTAAGTTTAACATACAGTTAAGATCTGATATTCTCTTTTTCCAAAATTTTTGAACTACTGGACATGACCACAACAGAGTCAGCCAACACTTAGCTCAACTTTCCAGCGTCTTGGAAAAGTCACCTGGCGTGAACTTTTATTGAGGAAGCATCTAAACAGTAACTTTTAATAGGTCTGATTTACATCATTGATTTTAAAATGGCCTCTTCTCCTTCAGTTACTGATTTAAATAATGTTGATTCAGAACAGTCTGCCCTAGCAGAACTGCATTTATTTTGCCCTCTCTTTTATCATGGTTTAAGAAGAAGGCACTGAGATATGAAGAAATTATACTAAAAAATCCAAAAGTTTGCACCAGATGTTTTCAGTCTCCCTTAGGAGCACAAGTCAGTTTCATGGGCACTTTAATTTGTGTACTTCTGGCTGCATTAATTTGTGTACTTCTGGCTGCAGTGTAATTGTGTATTGTTGCCAGTGTTCCCTCTAAGCTGAGTTAGTGCGAGTTAGCTCACAGTTTTGTAGCCTCCGGCTCAGACATTTGTGTCTTCGCTCAGGAAGGATGGCTCCAGAGCAAACTAATTTATGCAGTAGCCAAAGCACTTGCTCACAACTTTAATGCCAGTAGCTCACAAAGTAGAATTTTTGCTCTCAAGACTCCACAGCTTAGAGGGAACATTGGTTGTCGCGCCCCTTTACACACCCGTAACAATTTCTGTCAAAACGGAAACTCCTTGAATAGTTCTGATCTCTACTGCTCCGTGGGAAACAGCCTTTTTGCAGGCTAAAAGTCTTGAGATCTTGTCATGTGTTTTATCTTGCCGTAGATCATGCTGTCTCCTGATGCCAGGAACATGGCGTGGGTGTCATTTGACGGGCGGAAGAGGCAGGAAATCTGCCATGGCGACAGGTAGGCCAAAAGCAAACGGGAAAATACACAGTAAGAAACTGTCAACACAAAACAAACTGTGTAATGGAGGAGCAGACACACCTTAAAACATGTAAATTTGTATAAATATCCTATCATACTGGAAACATCCCCAACAACATATATCAAACCGCCAAAAGAGCACCACTGCAATCACGTATAACCCACAATTGCAAGTGAATTGCAATTTGTTGGAGATGTTTACAGTATGATATGGTATTTATATAAATGTACATGTTTAAGAACATAAGAGACGCCAATGTTGGATCAGGCCAAAGGCCCATCCAGTCCAACACTCTGTATCACACAGTGGCCAGAAATACCAGTGCCATCAGGAGGTCCACCAGTGGGGCCAGGACATTAGAAGCCCTCCCACTGTTGACCCCCCCAAGCACCAAGAATACAGAGCATCACTTGACCCAGACTGAGAGTCCCTATCTATACCTTGTGGCTAATAGCCACTGATGGACCTCTGCTCCATATGCTTATCTAATTCCCTTTTGAAGCCATCCATGCTTGTAGCTGCCACCACTTCCTGTGGCAGTGAATTCCATGTGTGAATCACTCTTTGGGTGAAGAAGGACTTCCTTTTATCCGTTCTAACCCGACCGCTCAGCAATGTCATGGAGTGCCCACGAGTTCTTGTATTGTGAGAAAGGGAGAAAAGTACCTCTTTCTCTACCTGCTCTTTCCCATGCATAATCTTATAAACCTCAATCATGTCACCCCTCAGTCGTCGTTTCTCCAAGCTAAAGAGCCCCAAGCGCCTTAACCTTTCCTCATAGGGAAAGTGTTCCAACCCTTTTATCATTCGAGGCGACAGGCAAGGCTGCACTGCTTCTGAGTTCTGGGGAACACCCGGCTTTCTTTGGGGAGGCCCTCCTGCTTCCTTCAGCAAACATCCACTACAGCCAGTTCCTAATGTTCTGTCTTGCTCTGCCAGTGTTATGTCACATTTTGGCACCCAGTGGCTCCAGAGACAAATGTTGCTTCCCTTGGCGCCCACCAAGCTTTTCAGAAAGCGGACTTTTCCTCATTCAGATGTAATGGTTTTCCATGGGAGGACGAGGGCCGATAAGCGTCTGGGAGCCAGTTTGGTGTGGTGGCCAGGAGCGGGGACTCTAATCTGGGACAACCGGGCTTGATTCCCCACTCCTTCATACGCAGCTGCTGGGTGACCTTGGGCAAGCCACAGTTCTCTCAGAGCCGTTCTCTCAAGAGCAGTTCTCAATCAGAGCTCTCTCAGCCCCACCTGCCTCACAGAGTGACTGTTGTGGGGAGAGGAAGGGAAAGGACATTGTAAGCCCCTCTGAGACTCCGAGGGAAGGGTGGGGGTATAAATCCCGTCTCCTCTTCTTTTCTTAGTGTGTGCTTCCATTTCCCCCTTCAAAGGTTTCCTTCTTCCCACGAGGAATGAGGAGGGAGGGTGTTCCATTTGGCTTGCCTCCTGGGGCAGCCGTTTGGGGCTTGGCACCAGCGTTCCCCCTAAACTGAGTTAGTCTGAGCTAGCTCACAGTTTTTTAGCCCCCAGCTCACACATTTTTGTCTTAACCCAGGAAGGATGGCTCCATAAGAACATAAGAGATGCCAATGTTGGATCCGGCCAAAGGCCCATCCAGTCCAACACTCTGTGTCACACAGTGGCCAGAAATACCAGTGCCATCAGGAGGTCCACCAGTGGGGCCAGGACATTAGAAGCCCTCCCACTGTTGACCCCCCCCAAGCACCAAGAAGACAGAGCATCACTTGCCCCAGAGCCCCTATCTATACCTTGTGGCTAATAGCCACTGATGGACCTCTGCTCCATATGCCTATCTAATTCCCTTTTGAAGCCGTCCATGCTTGTAACCGCCACCACTTCCTGTGGCAGTGAATTCCAAGTGTTAATCACTCTTTGGGTGAAGAAGGACTTCCTTTTATCCGTTCTGACTCGAGCGCTCAGCAATTTCATGGAGTGCCCACGAGTTCTTGTATTGTGAGAAAGGGAGAAAAGTACCTCTCTCTCTACCTGCTCTATCCCATGCATGATCTTATAAACCTCAATCATGTCACCCCCTCAGTCGTCGTCTCTCCAAGCTAAAGAGCCCTAAGCGCCTTAACCTTTCCTCATAGGGAAAGTGTTCCAACCCTTTTATCATTCGAGTTGCCATTTCCTGCACTTTTCCCAAAGCTATAATATCCTTTTTAAGGTGTGGTGACCAGAACTGCACACAGTATTCCAAATGAGGTCGCACCATTGATTTATATAGGGGCATTATGATATTGGCTGATCTGTTTTCAATACCCTTCCTAATAATCCCCATGGCTCCATGGCAAACACTGGCTCACAACTTTAATGCCAGTCACTCACAAAGTAGGATTTTTGCTCACAAGACTCCACAGTTTGGAGGGAGCATTGCTTGACACCATAGCCTGTGGCTCGCCACACACCCTCTCACAATGGCAGAGATGCCCACAGGCTTGGAAACGGGTGGGGACCCCTGTCCTAGGATCGGCTCTTCTCCTCCGCCGGAGCCTTGCTAACGGATCGCCTCCTGTTCCCCGCAGCATCAGCATCACTACGTCTTGCTACCCCCTCCCTTCGATCTGCTTCCAAGACCCCGTGAGCGACTGGTTCGAAAGCCTAGCAGAATGTTTGCACTGGAACGTCCGGAAGAAGCAAAACAACTTTGCCGTCGATGAAGAAGAGGAGTTTTAAGCCTCGGCACTAGTGGAGACTCACAGGGAAGCCACCGAGCGGTTGGCCCCCTTGCTGTACAAAGTGTATTTCTAAGCCCGTAGCTACTTGGGAGTAGACCAATATAATATATATTTTATAAGACAGCGATGTACCTCATATCAGTCTGTTCTGCTGATGACCAGATATATCATGTTTTCTGTCTGTCGGGAGGGAGTGCGGCAAGGTTAGAAGGCAGAGGGAGACACTTCCAGCCAGGCAGGTAGAGAGTTCCTTGTCTGTTTGTAAATGTGCGATGTGTGTTCTGGATAACTTGTTTTCAAAGCGAGGACCTTGGAGGAAACCTCATTAAAGACAAAAGAAAGTGGCTTGGGATTGTCTGTGCAGATCCACAAATTTCTCCATCAGCCACAATTTTGCCGGGTCGGGAAGACGTACGAGGAGAATGAAACGGCACTAAAAAGAAAATATTTTCTTCGGCTTGTCAAGCCTGTTATTCTGTGCACTTTCGAGAGAACGTACCTATAGCAAAAACGAGGAGGCTGGATAACAATGTGTTGTCTGCTTGACGTTGGTTTTCCTTCTTCAACTTAAGAACTGTATTTTGACCGCTGCTTAGAAACAAGGGTTTTGTTTGTTTGTTTGTTTGTTTGATTGGTGGTCACTGTAATTCTCTTCCCATTGTCATCACTGTAATTCCCTCCCTGTTGTCAACGCAGCCTATAGTTCACACTAAGTTTGTTATACCTCCTCTGTGATGACTGAAACGAGCAGTTCCGTGAATGTTTTTGGCTTCATGGAGAGAACTGTCAAGGTGAACCTCGCAGGTTCCGCTCTGGATGTCACGGCACCATTAAAAGATTGCGAATTCTCAGGAACTTCTCCCATTACATTTGAAAGACACAAGGATCCTTTTGGGAGTCTGGAGAGGCAGGCAGTAACTCAAAAAGTGAGCATGGGAAATGTCTCCCGCGCAAATCCTGGGGAGATGTGTGCAAGAGCATTTATGCACTCTCGTACGAGCACCTCTTGTTCCCATGGGACTTGCGAGATGGAAAATGTTCCTGACGAATTGTGCAAAATGCCTGAATCGGTCATGGAATGAACTCAACTTGTAGGGTGGAAGAAGGTGCCTGAGAAATACTAGGATTGAACTTTTGTTTAAAAAAAATTCCATGGGCACATACTGCAAATATTCGCAGCTCCCTCTTCTGGCTGTAGCAAGTTTTAGAGGTACCACCAGGGACGAGAGGGGCAGGAAGTCGATGTGGTCGGTCCTCAGAAGCCGCAGTCCCTGTCTGGCCTTTCAGATTTGAGGCCTGTCCCATGGGCTCCACCAAGAACTGTAGGGAATGGGGTCTTCCTTGTAGAGACAGTTTGCCTTTTGACCTTCGCTCTGCCTCACTGTTATCCTAGAACCAGCCTTAGGAGGCGTGCTCTGTGATTTCAGGAATTGCATAAGCAAGCCTGCAGGTCTCATCTTGGAGTTTTGTGTGTTCCACAGCTTCTCTCTGTGTGTGCGGAGAGTGTGTTTTATCTTTAAAACACAATGTGAGAAGCAATCCCCATGTGGACGTTTAGTGCCCCAGCTGGTGGGGGACTGGCCTCAGTTTACAGGTCTCCGTTAGCAGTACAGGCCTCCTTGGATTTCTGCTGCCTTCTAAACCGTGGCGTACATTGCTCGCTTGGGGCGAGACCCCACAAAATGGCTCTCACCTCTCCCAACTAAAAGTTAAGCCGATGCACTCTCTGCTTTGCTAGAATGACGAGCAACAGAGCATTCCGTCGGTACGCGAGCATCCGACAAGAAGAGCAGGAGACATTCCGAGCACGTTTGCTCTGGTGCCTTCAGCACACTTTTCAGTTTGTGGTTGTTGTTTTTTTTTTAAAAAAGACTGTCTTTGTACTTCGTTTTTAACGCTTCCGTCATGGACGTACGTCTCTTTGAAACCGTGCGTGGCTTTGATGAAGATAAGTAAAATGGGTAAGAGTTCAAGAAGTCGTGTTCTGCAGATAAGTTTCCCTCCCCGGCTCCACAGCCGTGATCGGCCGTTGCTCTAGCCGGGGACTGCGGGTAAAGGGGAAGGAGCTGGAAGAACGCTGAGATGGTGGAGCAGACTTTCCTACTACGGCAGGAAGGATGATACCACTGCACAATCCCTCCACACATACACTTTTTTTAACTCCTGCAAATAGCACATCAGAGAGCAGGGCCGCCATAATGGAACATATGCCAGTGCAGGGCCCACAGCCACCAAGGAGATTTGAGCGATCCACTAGGAAGCAAGGAGGGAGGTCTCCCCAGAGTTGCCGAGGCCCCTAGGGAAATCTCCCATTTCGTGGTGGGAAAAGGGACACAGAGGGAGCCGACTGTCACTCTAGTGTTCCTTTTTAGCCTGTCGGGGTATGAGCGGGGCTTGCTGTCAGAGGCAAGCTTTGTCCTCTCTGCCAGGTGACTTATTTGCATGCGGGTTTGGAGGGTCTAATGGCGGGCTTCTAGCCCACCTGCCACCAACCCCGCCCAATTCGGAGCCGGTCCTATCAGTGAAAGAGGTTCGAGTCTGTGCTCCCTCTGCCAGTGGCCTTCACCTCTGAAGGGGAGTTCCCCCCCCCATTTCAAAAACGTTTACCTGCTTCCCGCATTCTGAAGTGGCGCAGTCTTACTGCCCCAGGACTCTTCTCCCACCGCCTGCTGTGTGCGTAGACCAGGCCGTCAAAAGTTTACATTTATGTTTGTCATGCTTCCCCCCCTCCCTACACTGCCTGCCCCCTCCCCAATCAAAAGAGTAGGACACAGTTGACTTCTGTGGAGTTCTTCAGAGGAACCGGTCATTGTCAGCTAGACGGAGGGCCAGGGTGGAGATTGATTTGACGGGAAAGAAAAGGGAGGGGAGGAGACGGGCCACACGTGCTCGAGGCAGCCGAAGGTTCGCTGGATCGTTTTTCGGTTCTCTGAAGGAGGAGACGACAGGGCAATGTACTTTCACCTTCTTTTCCCCTGTTCAGATTGTTCTGCGAAAGTTTCTCATGGTTGTTTTACCCCTCTGGTGTTGTTGTCAGTTCTGATTTTTTTGTCGTTGCAAAGAGCAACTCAATGGTGATGTCGACTGCACTAAAAGGCTTGTAAATTATCTTGTGAGCTAGAATGATGGTTTTGAGTTGTCTCTCTCTCTCTCTTTTGAGTTGCAATGGGTCTGTACAAGGCAAACGTGGTGAGCCCCCACCCCCTGGGAGGATGTTCAGTTAGCTGTTCAGATCTCTGTTTTCACTTGAATTTTATGGTCTGATTATGTGCTGTCACTGTTCGAAGTATGTGTGTGTGTTTTTTTCAAGTCACTTACGGGTTTCCTAGACAGCTGAGTGTTCTCTTTGGAAGAGCAGTCTTACTTCCTGAGCTGTAGAAATGGAGCTTCGCTTGATTACAAAGACTTCTTCCTTTTTTTTCTTAAATGCAATAATTAAGAAAAGGAACAGGGTAAAAGCATTTGATTTTTTTTTTTAATTGCCTGTATGAAGTACGTTGATGTGAACAGAAGGGGGTTAAGTAGGCGAGGCGGAAGGACGAAGAGAAGCGAAATGAAGATTTAGAAGATCTGGGTGGGGTGGGGGGGGTCAGAAGAGAGCGACAAGAATTCACATTTTAAAAAATTGTAATTAATAGAATTTTTTCAGGACGTGTGAAAGAAAAATCTGCATTTTTTTCCTAAATAAAGATTTTATATATTGCCTTCCCTAAGAGACCTTCCTTTATTACTCTTTTGCCAGACGAAGTCGCTTTACTACAGACCCATATTTCGTGCCGAACTTCCCCGCTGACCGAAACGTCGTCCCATTTTCGTTTTGACCTGAATGCAGACTGGTTGCAGCCAGACCCTTCACAAGGATGAGCTTCAGAATAGCTCTTCTCATCTATGGGCTGACTGTTTTAACTGCAGCTGCGGTGGCTCCTTCTTATCATTTATTTATTTATTCAATTTATATCCCACCCTCCCTGCCAGAGCAGGCTCAGGGTGGCTTCCATAAAAGAGTCAAAAGCACATAAAAACACAATTATAAAACATCCTACTTAGTCCTGGGCAATTACCGACAGGCATAAAGCGCTAGTGGCTATATTGATGGCAGTTGTAATGTTGCATAGATAACATAGTAGGCAGCTGTAGTGTTGCACAGAAATCAGAATACGCCATGGTGGAATGGTCACAGAGGAGTATAGTCAGAGTTGGCGTTCAGCTGATCAAATCCATTTATACTGGCTGGCGCAGGCTGCTGACGGTAAGTCCAGGGGGAAGCGGGCCTTGCCACAGTTCAGTTGTTGGATGCGGCTGCTAGTTAAAGGCCTGGTGGAAGAGCTCCGTCTTTCAGGCCCTGCAGAACTGTAAAAGGTCCTGCAGGGCCCTGATGTCTTCCGGGAGCTCGTTCTACCAGTACGAGCCACCACTGAGAAGGCCCTGGGCCAGGGTGGGCCAACATTTTTGAGACCCTGAACGCAGTGCTCTTGGGGACATGTGAGGAAAGGCAGTCTTTCAGGTATGTAGGCCCCTGACCATATAGGGCTTTATTAAAGGTAAGAACCAGCACCTTGAAGCTAATTTGGTATGCTATCGGCAGCCAGTGCAGGGCTTCCAGCGCAGGCTGGATGTGTTTCTGCATAGGGAGACCCATCAAGAGCCTGGCTGCAGCATTTTGCACTAGCTGTAGACTCCAGATTTGTGGCAAGGGCAGCCCCATGTAGAGAGCATTACAGTAGTCCAATCTTGAGGTGACCATTGCATGGATCACTGTAGCCAGGTCATTGCGTTCAAGGAAGGGAACCAGCTGCCTAATCAGCCGAAGATGGTAAAAGGCTGACTTAGCAGTGGCTGCTGCCTGGGCCTCCATTGTTAAGGCGGCTCCCAGACTCCTAACCTCCAGCACTGGCGGCACCTACAGAGCCCCAACGAAGGTCGGGAGTGGGATCCCTACCCCCGAGCCGCTCCGACTCAGGCACGGAACCTCTGTCTTTTTCAGATCCAGTTTCAATCGGCTCAGTCTAAGCCATCCAGCCATGGCTTGTAATGCCAGGTCCAGATCTTTCGGTCTAGAGTCGGACTGACTGCCCAACAACAGATAGAGCTGGGTGTCGTCATCCACATATTGGTGACATCCCAGTCCATGCCTCTGGGCAAGGGGGTGCATGTAGATGTTAAATAACATCTGGGAAAGCACCGCCCCTTGGGGCACTCCGCAAGTTAGCGGATGCCTTCGGGACAGCTGTTCCCCCTAATGCCACCCTTTGTCCCCGACCCTGGAGGAACAAGGAGAGCCACTGCAAGGCAGACCTCTGGATCCCAGTGTCGGCGGATCAGTAGCTGATGGTCGACCATGTCCAACGCTGCCGACAGGTCCAACAGCCCCAATCCAGATGTCTCTAGAGGTCGTCCGTGAGGGCGACCAGTGCCGCTTCGTCCCATGGCCTGGGCAAAAACCGGGCTGGAAGGGGTCTAACATGGAAGTGTCACCCATAAAGCTCTGCAACTGTATCGCCACCGCCCTCTCAATTATTTTGCCCAAACAGGGCAAATTGGGGACCAACCGATAGTTTGCCAATTTGGCTGGGCCCAGAGATGTGTTTATTTTTTAAAGAGAGGGTGGATCACCCGCTTCCTTGAGTGCCCTAGGAAACAGTCCCTCCAAGAGGGATTTATTAATAATCTCCCCGAGGGCACTTCGAAACCCTTCATGGCCAGGTTTAATTAGCCATGAGGGGCACAGCTCAAGGCTGCATGTGGTCGGGCGCACAGTTGAGAGCAATTTGTCAACTTCCACTTCTCCCTGAGCTCCACCTTTGCCTTAAGGCACTTCATCTGGGTCTGTTTTGGTCCTTTGGGTCAGGCGCTAAGGGCACCTATGCCAGGGTTCCCTAACCAATGGCGCCCACCGGTACACATTACTGTAGTGGGAAAACTCCAGAAACCACAGCACTTCACACCAATGCTCCCTCTAAGCTGTGGAGTCTTGTGAGGAAAAATTCTACTTTGTGAGTTACTCGCCTTAAAGTTATGAGACAATGATTTGGCTACTGCATCAATTAGTGTGCTCTGGAGCCATCCTGAGTTAAGACAAAAATGTGTGAGCTGGAGACTAAAAAACTGCGAGCTAGTTCACAGTAACTCAGCTTAGAGGGAACACTGCTTCACACCAGGGGTTGGATTCGGGCCTCTGTAGTCTCAGAATCTTCTTTGTTTTCTAGATAGGAGTTCCGAGATCTGGGAGTATATTGCATTGCCCAAACAGACCCTTCTCAGTCTTACGGGCCACGATCCCTGTAAAGTTGAGGCCGTTGCTCAGATAAGAGTGTCATAATTTAGGAAGCAAAACACTTTGGTGTAGTATTATTTATCAATATGTACATCTCAGGATAGAAGAGATCATTAAGTGATGGGATATCTCTCTGATTGCCCCCCCATCCCCCGTTCATGCAAATGGAAGCTATAGGGCAACTTTTTACTATACCTGGATTCACAATTGATAGCGAACCATATAATACTGTCTGGGGTGGGGTGGGGTGGGGGGACCAAGGTGGATCCGGCACGCGGGCTACATACTGGCCACCAATGCTCCCTCTAAGCTGTGGAGTCTTGTGAGCAAAATTTTTACTTTGTGAGCTACTGGCATTAAAGTTGTGAGCGAGCAATTTGGCTACCGCATAAATTAGTTTGCTCTGGAGCCCTCCTTCCTGAGCTAAGACAACAATGTGTGAGCTGGAGGCTAAAAAACTGTGAGCTGGCTCACACTAACTCAGCTTAGAGGGAACACTGCTGGCCGCCCTGTTTTAAAAAATTAAATGAGAACTGTAGAACCGCTGTCCATAAAGATACGGGATAAGAACATTTTCCCCAGCTTAAATGTCAGACGTTATCATTCCTGGAAGTCTAGATATGATTCATCACAACATTATACTCTTGTTTGCTTTTCAGAATTTATAGTTCTACAAAACTCAGGCGGTTCGTGTCTGAGGCAGAATATGAGCGGGGAGGGAAGTCTTATATCAAATAAAGGAGAGGCCTGGAAAGACAGATTGCTTTGAAAATTAAATTGAGTAATATTTTTCAGCAGGTCAAATGAGTAAACCTCGTTCTACGATTCAGCCGTGATTTATGAAAGGGAAGAGTATGTAAATTCCATTTTTCCAAACATGACAACACCAGCTATTTTGGCAAAACATTTCGGGGCTCCGGTCATCCTTTTGGACTGACCGGCTCTGCTTCTTTTGTGCGATATCGTGTACGCCTTCTTGGAAGAATCCCAGCATTTTCAAAAGCGAACCTCTTCGCAATTGTTGCGATCCGAAAGCAAACAGCCAACTGTTGTTGTTGACACTTTATTGAAAAAATACAAGGCTGGTAACAAACCCTCTCGATAAAGTAACAAAAGCTTTAAAATTTCGTTTGGTGAAAAGAAAACTCATTCTGTGAAACAGCACGTTGGTTAAGAAGGTGGGGAGGGGCTGACCGTTTTGAAAGGGCTGGGGGGGGGGAGAAGATCGGGCTTTGGAGGCCGAGGATTAAAAGGAGGCCATTCAAGTTTTAGCAAGACATAAGCCATGCTAACGGAGACGCAAGCTAATTGCTGTTTCTTCAGGGAACAGTTGTTGTTGTTTATATGGCCAGTGGCAGACTTGTACAAGCCATTTCGGGGGCTGAAGCTGTAAGCCACGTAAACACACGGACGCTGGAGCTCCCGGACTGAGACGCAGTGTTCCCGTAGAGAAGGAGAAAAGTACAAGCTGCTCCCAAGAGGTAAAAACATGGGCCGATTTTGCGCCAGCAACTGTAGGTACACAATGGGCAGTCAAACGATGTGCGGTGCTGTGGCGCAACACAAAACAGGACCATTGTCGGGCAGCCTAAGAAACTTGACGTCTTTCCCAGAAGTGGGGACACAAGACCAGGAGGTTGTCAGGAAGTAGACCAGGCTGGGAGAACACCGGGGTCTGGAGAGCCCTCGAGCTGATCCAACAGGAAGAGTGGAGCAACTACGTCTCTCGCACTGCTCAGGAACTCGAACAGGAAGATCCTCCCCTCTATGTTATAGTTCCAGATCGGTATTCCGGGAGGGGGGGGGAGCTAAATGTTCTATCCGCATGTCCCGTCTGCTGTTTAAGGCACCCTGCCAATAGGCCTTGCCCCCAATCCTAGAGACGTTCTCTCCACCTGTCCTTCAGGGCACCTCTCGGATGGCTAAATCACAGGATTAAGAGAAGGATGGAACTACGGACTCCGGTGTGGCTCTCTGAGCCAGTCCGAGCAAAAGGAATAAAAATAGGGCGGGAAGGTACAGAAATTGCATCCTGGCCCTTACCTGGATACCCCGGGCAAGCCCGATCTCATCAGATCTCAGAAGCTAAGCAGGGCCGACCCTGGCAAGTACTTGGACGCGACACCTCCAAGGAATACCAGGGCTGGGACGCAGAGGTAAACCACCTCTGAAACGCCTGAGCCCCACTAGGTGTCACCAGAAGTCAACCATAATTTCCAGGCATATACACACACACACCAAAAAAGAGATTGCATCCTGCAAGCGTTGAAGGTATTTCACAGCAGTGAAATGCCTCCTTGTCTACTCTGCACCCTATCCACAACAAGGCAGCCCTGTAAGGAGCCAGGTGTGCTAGGAAAAGCTGCTGTTTCTGGAGGTGGGGGCCAAGGGATTCTGACCCCGGGACAGTAGGACTGGCATTCCTCAACCTGAAGGGAATTGATGCCAAACAAATGCAGCTGGCACCGTCAAGCTGTGAGGGGCGGGGGTTAGAAAGAACTGCCTCTGTTTGCGTCCGTGGTCCTGTCACCCGTGCTTCTGGTCTGGTACAGGAAATGCCGGATTGTGTGAGGGCTTGTTAGTCTGAGCAGAAGATGCTAGCGGGGGCCAGGCGAGGAAGGGGAGAGGGGATCTGAGCTCCAGTTGGCAAAAAGGATACATTGGGAACAGTGGTGGGGGCAAAAAGAGAGTGCGCCCCCTCCATCCCTAACCCTGCCGAAGTCACAATGCCCACGCCTACATAACTGGTAGGCGAGCCCGCCGGGGAAGGAAGAATGACCCGCGTTGGTTTTGAGTGATACCAAAGCCTTGTGATGCAAACCAACGCCAAACGGGCATCGCCACCGCTGGGTTGAAGCCGGGAGTAGCAGCAGAGATGGGAGCGGCATGGAGGAGTCGAGGGCGTGAGCCACTCAGTCTTGTGACGTCCGGTGGATCGGGCAAGAGTCCCAGCTGTAAGGCAGGAGAGGTCTAGCGGGTGCCAGGCACCGCATGCTGCTAGGAACCCCCTTCTTCAGTGATCTGCCCTGTGGGGGGGGGTCTCACCTTCTCCGGTCGCTGGCAAGGGAGGCGCGGGAACTTCCTGGGTGCAATGTCGCTCTATAAGAGCACCACGTCGTCGGCCCGGTGAGGGGAAGGCGCGCTTCAGGAATCGATCCTTCCATAGGAAGAAAACACTGCAAAGGAGGGAGAGAGAGAGGAACAGTACCAATGTCAGCCTGGCTCAATGGAATGCACAGTTATCAATGGAAGGTGTATTCAATGTGCTGATTGGTGGCCTCTCCCACCAATCAGGGCACAGTCTCCATCATTTGGAGCGGCTGCCTCAACACTTCTGAATGGAAGGTGTATTCAGTGTGCTGATTGGTGGCCTCTCCCACCAATCAGGGCACAGTCTCCATCATTTGGAGCGGCTGCCTCAACACTTCTGAATGGACATTAAGTGCCCGCTGAGACTTGACTGACTGGACCAGTCCCCTTCTACTTTTTCAGCCTGCTCAGTGGATGTCCCATAACTAGGGTTGCCAGCCTCCAGGTGTGGTCTGGAGATCTCCTGCTATTACAACCAATGCTCCCTCTAAGCTGTGGGGTCCTGTGAGCAAAAATTCTACTTTGCGAGCTACTGGCATTAAATCTGTGAGCGAGCGATTTGGCTACTGCATCAATTAGTTTGCTCTGGAGCCCTCCTTCCTGAGCAAAGACAAAAACGTGTGAGCCGGAGGCTAAAAAATGGTGAGCTAGGTCACACTAACTCAGCTTAGAGGGAACACTGCCTGTGCGGTAGGTGGGGCTGAGAGAGCTCTCTCGAGGACTGCTCTTGAGAGAACAGCTCTGAGAGAACTTGTGACTGACCCAAGGTCGCCCAGCAGTTGCATGTGGAGGAGTGGGGAATCAAACCCGGTTCTCCCACATTAGTCCGTGCTCCTGACCACTACACCAAACTGGCTGCACCACCCACCTGTCCCCTGATACTCGAACCGCCTTGTGAGACCACACCCAGGCCGAAAAAACCACACGCTAATACAAAACTCTCGGGGTTAAAAAAGCAACCTTTGAACATTTTGTTCTGGACCGGTCACAGAATAAGATCATAATCAGTGGTCCTGATCCAATGTGAGTAGGGTTGCATGGTCAGTCGGCAAGTACTTACTCCTCTCTCTCAACCCATGCCCGAAACTGCGGTAGACATGGAAGAGTGCCCAAAACAGAACGCTTTTGATCGCCACGGAGATGCAGGAGCCGGTGACCACGGCGGCTTCCAGGGCGTAGGAAGACCCTTGGCCCCACTTCAGGATAACCTGAAGAGAAAACAGGCAGAGTTGACATTTGTCATGGGAAGCCCTTCGTTTCCAAGGATGCTTCAGAACGAGATGATCTGAAGTCCTGGCAGTCTGGTTGGAGGGCTCATACTCCACGCTGGGCTCCATCCGTGCGTGCACGGCAGACCTTTGGCAAACTCTTGGAAGGCAGGTTCAAAGGACGCTCGTTCTGATGAAATGAAGTGGCCCAGGTCTGGTTTGGGGAAGAGCAGGGCCTTCTTTTGGAAAAAGAAGTGCCGGAACTCTCAGGAGGGAAATGAAGTTTTCAAACTGTATACTGAAAACTCATGAGGTTTTAAGCATTTCTAAAAGAATTTTGTCGAAGAGGTTCCAGAGCTCCATTCTGGCATGTTCCCCCAGAAGCCCTGGGGAAGAGAGACTGAAAGCGCTCAAACTGGCATACTGAGCCGCCAGGAAAAAGGCTGGATTTGTTTAGGAGGAGGAGGAGGAGGAAAAGAGGAAGAGGAGGAGGAGAAGATTGGGTTTATACCCTGCCCAGAGCGGCTTACAAACTCCTTCCCCTTCCCCTCCCCACAACAGACACCCTGTGAGGTAGGTGGGGCTGAGAGAGCTCTGACAGAAACTGCTCTTTTTCAAGAACAGCTCTTGTCAGAACTATGGCTTGCCCAAGGTCATCCAGCAGCTGCAAGTGGAGGCGTGGGGAATCAAACCCGGTTCTCCCAGATTAGAGTCTGCGCACTGAACCACTACAACAAACTAGCTCTTTGGGACAGAAGACAGCAAAGTCTCGTTAAAATTTCCGACGTCTCTTTGTTTCGTTTCGGGCTGGGCTGAAACAAGGATCCCCCTTGTGTCACTCACGGGTGTTGCCCGAAGCGGGCTGACTCGATCTTTCCTATAACGTGTCATAAGAACATAAGAGACGCCAATGTTGGATCAGGCCAAAGGCCCATCCAGTCCAACACTCTGTGTCACACAGTGGCCAGAAATACCAGGGGGCATCAGGAGGTCCAGCAGTGGGGCCAGGACACTAGAAGCCCTCCCACTGTTGACCCCCCCAAGCACCCCAAGAATAAAGAGCATCCCTTACCCCAGAGCCCCTATCTATACCTCGTGGCCAATAGCCACGGATGTCCCTCTGCTCCACTTGAGAAGAGACGCTGGCTGCAGGGATTATCCAAGAGCCCAAATGGTTTGGATTCCCTCTGCGGGAAATTAAAAATCCCTCTCGGGCAGTGTTCCCTCTAAGCTGAGTTAGTGTGAGCTAGCTCACAGCTTTTTAGCCTCTGGCTCACGCATTTTTGCCTTAGCTCAGGAAGGAGGGCTCCAGAGCACACTAAATTTATACAGGAGCCAAATCGCTTGCTCACAACTTTAATGCCAGTAGCTCACAAAATAGAATTGTTGCTCACAGGACTCCACAGCTTAGAGGGAACCTTGCTCTCGGGGAACCTCCCTCCACTATCCCATCCCTGATGCTGCCGGAGTCAGGCAGGCTCTCTCAGCAGGCCAGCCGTGTGATGGTCCCAAGCGAGCTCAGTTCTCCTTGGGGGGGGATCGGCGATTCATTCTGAGAAAGAGCCTGTTAATTTGCGTGTGTTGTGCTAAGTGCCGCCGTGAGAGAGCTCCCCGGGGCCTGCCAGCTGCTGCCTCTCTTCCCAAAGGATTATGGGAATGGCTTAAACCAGCAAAGCCTTCCTGAGATGGCTGTGCAACAGCACCCCTTCTGGCTAGATGTGGGAAGGCGTCTAGCTCCTCGCTCTGATCCAAGGGACGACTGGGCGTCCTCCTCTGTTTGGAAGGTGAATTCTGGTTCACAGAAGGAGCCCGGTCACATGAGCACTTGAAGCTGCCTTCTACTGAGGCCGATTGTCAGTCCTTTCCTGTAGGAACTTGACGTGAGAAGAGCCACGCTGGATCGGGCCAAAGGCCCATCCTGTGCAGCGTTCTGTTCACGCCCTAGCCAACCGGCTGCCCATGAGCAGGGTGACTGCAATGGTATCCTTCCACCTGTGCTCCTCAGCCGCTGACAGAAAGAGGTAGACTGCCTCTGGTAGTGGAGGCACTGCTTGGCTCTGGGCAGCAGCTGGCACCGCTCGGTTGGGATGGGTTAGCGTTTCCTTAATACGTTCTGCTTGCAGGATTTGAATTCGGGAAGAATCCTTGTCTTCTTTTAAGGAACGGGGATTATAGAAGAAGAAGAGATTGGATTTATTCCCCGCCCTTCACTACCCGAAGAAGTCTCAGAGCGGCTTACAAACTCCTTTCCCTTCCCCTCCCCACAACAGACCCTGTGAGGTAGGTGGGGCTGAGAGAGCTCTGACAGAAACTGCTCTTGAGAGAACAGCTGTGAGAGAACTTGTGACTGAAGAAGAAGAGATTGGATTGATACCCTGCCCTTCACTACCCGAAGGAGTCTCAGAGCGGCTTACAAACTCCTTTCCCTTCCCCCTCCCCACAACAAACATCCTGTGAGACAGGTGGGGCTGAGAGAGCTCTGACAAAAACTGCTCTTGAGAGAACAGCTGTGAGAGAACGTGTGACTGAAGAAGAAGAGATTGGATTTATACCCCGCCCTTCAATACCCGAAGGTGTCTCAGAGCGGCTTACGAACTCCTTTCCCTTCCCCTCCCCACAACAGACACCCTGTGAGGTAGGTGGGGCCGAGCGAGCTCTGACAGAAACTGCTCTTTTTCAAGGACAGCTGTGCCAGAACTATGGCGTGCCCAAGGTCATCCAGCAAACCTGGTTCTCGCAGATCAGAGTCCGCGCACTTAACCACTAGACCAAAAGGGATGAAGGAAGCAAGAGCTATCGGGGACAGGGTTTGGGAGCGCTGGAAGGAGGCTGGAAGGAGCCTGGGGGATCTTGCCTTTCGCAGAAATTACCTGTGCGAGGGAAAAGCGAAGTTTGTCTCTTCTTCTGGCAAGGGAACTGGCACCCCCGCCGCGGCCACCTCTGCTCCCTCTCTCCAGCTCTCCCCCTGCCGACAGCTGCTTTCGGAAAACATCTCTCCGACGCCGTCACAAGGACGGGTTGTTGTGTCTGACTCCTCTCTGTTTTGCCTTGCCCGGGAGATAAAACCCCGGGGCTCTCTGACATCGTTCTGGGGCAGCGTCTCGGAGACGTGACCCTTCCCTGGATGCCTGCCAGTGGATGCTCCACAAGCAGGAGCGTGGAACTAAAGCCACAATCCTGGAACGGCTCGAAACTTGTCTTAAAACGCTGCTCTTCAGACTGAGCTCAAAGGTAAGGGCAGAGACCTGTGGTTGATGGCCCCCGTGGCACAAGGGGTCAGCTAACGTAAGTGGGGAAGAAGGAGGAGGAGGAAGAGGAGGAGGAGACTGGATTTATACCCCGCCCTTCACTACCCAAAGGAGTCTCAGAGCGGCTTACAAACTCCTTTCCCTTCCCTGCCCTGAGAGGTAGGTGGGGCTGAGAGAGCTCTGACAGAAACTGCTCTTTTTCAAGGACAGCTCTTATCAGAACTGTGGCTTGCCCAAGGTCATCCAGCAGCTGCAAGTGGAGGAGTGGGGAATCGAATCCGGTTCTCCCAGATTAGAGTCCGCGCACTTAACCACTACACCAAACTGTAGAGACACCCTGAAGTGTCTGTTGGGCTTTCCTTCTGAGATCTGGCCCATGCAAGGCCCTTTCAAACAGCCTCTTGCGAACAGCTGTGCAGACGCAACTCTGGCAGAAGGCCGTGGGCAGTGCCAAGACAGCTGAGGAATTTTCTGCATCCTCCTAGTTGAATAAACAAACCCCTTGGCATGACTTACCGTATAGAGCAGGTAGGCAAGATAAGCCACTTCAGGTAAATTCTGACCCAGGAAAACCCAAGCGAAAGGTTTTAACTCTTTTAGTATCTGTGGGGGGGAGAAAGTTAAATACAGGTATCAATGAATGACCAGGCTGATGATCAGTGTACTATCGACAAAATGGCATCTTGGATGCATTTCGGCTCTATATTATATTATTATTATTTAGATTTATTAATCACCCCATCCGAATTTACGCTGGGCTCTGGGTGATGTAAAAGGCATAATGCCATAAAATATACAAAACATTGAAATTCAATGTACAACTTAGTAAAAATTAACTGTACAGATAAAACGATCCGAGATGGCGATTTCCCTATAATATCATTTGCCCCAATTCCGGACTGCCAGCTCCTTTTCTGGGTAGAGGGGATAGGGAATTCAGAGAAGGAAGGGTGCCAGCCAATGAGGTAACTGTTGCTGCCCTCAACCAATAGCCTTGCAGAACATCTCTGCCTTACATATCTGAAGGACTGCCTCCCCCCGTATATGCCCTGATGAGCCTTGCGCTCACTGGATCAGCACCTACTGGTTACCCCGGGCCAAAGGACGCCCGTCTAGCCTCGATCAGGACCAGGGCTTTCTCTGCTCTGGCTCGGTGGAATCAGCTCCCACTGGAGAACAGGGCCTGGTGGGACTTCTTATCGTTCCGCAAGGCCTGTAAAACGGGGCTGTTCCACCAGGCCTTTGGGTGAAGCGGTGGGTATCCATCTCGGTTGGCCTCCCTGCTCGAGTTGCCAGTCGACCGACGTACCCGCTGATTCCATCGACGTGGCCCTAACAGGTTTTCTATGTCATTGCTGCTGCCGCCTCTTGAATTGTAATGGTTTTAATGTAATGTCATCTTATTGCAACGAGTCTCCGGCTCTGTCATGTCGTGATCTGCCCTGACCCCGCTTTGGGGAGGGCGGAATAAAAATCCGAAACAAATAAATAAAATAAAATAAAGATGCATCCGGCTCCCTCTGCTCAAAGCGGGAGATGGCCACACGCTGACCCCGATAGCCCGATCCCGTCAGATCACAGGAGCTGAGCAGGGTCGCCCCTGGTTAGTACAGGTATGGGAGACCACAAAGGACATCCAGGGTTCATGCACAGAGAACAGGCAACGGCAAAACACCTCTGGGCCAAGGCTCCCTCTAAGCTGTGGAGTCCTGCGAGCAAAAATCCTACTTTGTGAGCTACCGGCATTAAAGTTATGAGCCAGAGGGCTCTGGAGCCCTCCTTCCCGAGTGAAGACAAAAATGTGTGAGCCGGAGGCTAAAAAACTGTGAGCTAGCTCACACTAACTCAGCTTAGAGGGAAGACTGTTTGGGAGGGGGTGTCACCCCGTGGGCCCCAACCTGGCTACAGGCCTGCCACAGGCTGACCGTAGAACATGTGGCTGATGGGACACCCCCCCCTCGAAAAAGACAGGATATGCTGTATGAAGTTAAAAGTAGGTCCCAGGGAGGGTTCTTAACTTCTTATAACATCAAAAGGGAATAATTTTTTTACTCAATGAATAATTGAATTGTGGAATTCACTGTAGTGATGGCCACGGGCATAGATAGTTTTAAAAGAGGACTTGACAGATTCATGGAGGAGAGGTCCATCAGTGGCTACTAGCCATGGGGACTAAAGGCAATCCATGTTCAGCAGCAGAACACTCCTGAACAAGGCTCCCTCTAAGCTGTGGAGTCCTGCGAGCAAAAATCCTACTTTGTGAGCTACCGGCATTAAAGTTGTGAGCGAGCCATTTGGCTATTGCATCGATTAGTTTGCTCTGGAGCCCTCCTTCCCGAGCGAAGACAAAAATGTGTGAGCCGGAGGCTAAAAAAACTGCGAGCTGGCTCACACTCACTCAGCTCAGAGGGAACACTGCTCGGGGCGTCTCTCGCCTTGAAAACCCTGTGGGGGTCAATGTAAGTTGGCTGTGACTTGACGGCGCTTCCCACCGCTGCCACCGTGGCCCCACACGAGTTCTGCACGACAAAGCTTCCATCTGGGGCAGAGCTAGCATAACCGCTCCCCCGTCCGTGTGGGGTGGAGACACTTGGCAAGAGTTCCTGTGCAAGCGCAGGAGAGGAGCAGACTCTGGAACTGATCGGCACCTACTGGTTGTCCTTGGCCCAAAGGACGTCCGCTTAGCCTCAGCTACGGCTAGACCTTTTCAGTCCTGGCCCCTACCTGGTGGGACATGCTGCCGCTTGAGATCAGGGCCTTGCGCGACCTACTGCAGTTCCGCGGGGCCTGTCAAATGGAGCTGTTCTGCCAGGTATTCCGCTGAGGCGGTAGACACCCAATTAGTTGGCCTCCCTGCACAGACGTTGCCCTGACTATTGCCCTGGTGGAGAGGAGGGAAAGCAAAAGGCACGTAGAAAGGCGTTCTTCCCTAAATGCAGAAATTTACTTCCTGGTAGACTGGCTGGCTCCACCCACTGATTCACTCACATGGGGGCAAAGGGCTTTTTAATCCCTTCCTTCAACGCCGTGAACAGCAGAGAGGCCTTTGGCTGACTTCTCCCTTTATGCCCCTCAGATTTTTTTCACTCTCATCTGTGAGTCACAAGCTAAACGGGAGTGGAGCCTCTGAGGTGCCGAAGAGGAGAATTCTGACAGAGCGTCTGCCGCTATTCACACCAGAGAGGAGGCCTTTGCATGCAAAGAGTCGCAGGAGACAATGTTCCCTCTGAGCTGTGGAGTCTTGTGAGCAAACATTCTACTTTGTGAGCTACTGGCATTAAAGTTGTGAGCAGGTGATTTGGCTAAAGGTAAAGGTTCCCTTGCTCGAAAGCCAGTTGAGTCCAACTCTAGGGTTGCGGTGCTCATCTCCGTTTCAAAGCCGAAGAGCCAGCGCTGTCTGAAGACGTTTCTGTGGTCATGTGGCTGGCATGACTAAACACCAAGGCGCACAGAACGCTGTTACCTTCCCACCAAAGTGGTACCTGTTTATCTACTTGCAGTTTCTTGCTTTTGAACTGCTAGGTTGACAGGAGATTTGGATTTGGCTACTGCATAAATTAAAAGGAGCTGCGGTGGCTCAAGTGGTTAAGACGCTGAACTGCAGGCTGTGGAAGGTCAGTAGTTCAGCAGTTCGAGACCCGGGTGCGGCATGATGGAGTGAGCTCCCATCTCTAGTTCCAGCTCCTGCCAACCTAGCAGTTCGAAAGCAAGAAATTGCAAGTAGATAAACAGGTACCACTTTGGTGGGAAGGTAACAGCGTTCCGTGCGCCTTGGTGTTTAGTCGTGCCAGCCACATGACCACAGAAACGTCTTCAGACAGCGCTGGCTCTTCGGCTTTGAAACGGAGATGAGCACCACAACCCTAGAGTCGGATTCGACTGGCTTTCGAGCAAGGGAACCTTTACCTTTTTACTGCATAAATTAGTTTGCTCTGGAGCCATCCTTCCTGAGCAAAGACAAAAATGTGTGAGCCGGAGGCTAATAAACTGTGAGCTAGCTCACACTCCCTCAGCTTAGAGGGAACACTGGACAGGAGTGGGGGGTTCTAGACTGGGGGGGGTCAAGCAGGAAACCCCTAGATGCTGGATCCGGCCCCTGGTCCACTGGTTTCCTGTTTCTGCTTTAACAGGAACACGGGGCCATGTTTCCTGCTCCTAAGAGACAACCGCTTGAGTACCAAAGCTTCTTAGGACGACACTCACAGCAATGATGCCACAGGTGACTTTCAGGCAAGCCCAGAGAATCCCAGCAGCCAGGAAGATGATGTGCAGGAGGGAGATTTCCTGGAGGGTCATGAGCAGCAGGACACACAAGCAGAGCTGGAAAGGACAGGACAGAGGTCAAAGGAGAGGCGGGGGGAGATGTCCAGCTCACCACCCCCTTAGCTGTGCTCAAAAGCACAGCGTTAGCTGACACTCTGTCAACTCATCTATCCCATGGGCAAGGGGGACCAAAACAGATATAGACTAACTAAAGAATATAGACTAAATACAGAAGTGGAAGAGACCCAGTTCGGTGCAGTTAGAAGCGTCCAGATTTTGTAGTTAAGCAGAGCCCTTCAGCCAGCAGACGGGAAAAGAGGACCAATTCCCAGCGTATAGGTGAAGCAGAACCCAGCCAGTGAGTTGTCCCCAAGGTTTAAGTGTATCGAGCCACTGCTCTAGAAAGGGACCGCAGACGACAGGATGGCCTGTTGGACCAGACAGGCCATGATCCCCGGTCTGACATGGCAGTTTGCTGGGTGACTTTGGGTCTGTCGTTTTCTCTCGGCTTAACCGACCTCACGGGGTGATTGTCAGGATAAAATGGAGGCAGGAAGGATGATATTGTCCAGCATCCAGTTTCGGGAAAGCCCGCTAAGCAGGGGCTGAAATCCTTCCCATGACCCTTCCCACAACTCTGCTTGCCAGTTTGGCATAGTGGTTAGGAGCGCGGTCTCTAATCTGGGAGAACCGGGTTTGATTCCCCACTCCTCTGCATGCAGCTGCTGGTGTGACCTTGGGTCAGTCACAAGTTCTCCCAGATATGTTCTCTCACGGGCAGTTTCTGTCTCAGCCCCACCTACCTCACAGGGCATCTGTTGTGGGGAGGGGAAGGGAAAGGAGATTGTGAGCCGCTCTGAGACTCCTTTGGGTAGTGATGGGCGGGGTATAAATCCGATCTCTTCTTCGTCAGGTGCTTCAAGAGTATACTGCCTCCACACATGGAATTTCCATTTAACTCGTCCAGCACAATAGAGATATATTTATAGATCCCATTATAAAGTCATATCCAGGGCGTGGTAGGGGGACTCTCCTCTCAATTATGTTGGCAGATAAAAATCCGAATATAACTCGTATGGTGGCTACATTTGGTTGGTTAGCCTATTGTATTAGGAGAAAGTGGAGGGGCTATGATTAACGGGCTGGACTTGATTTTATCTGAATTGTATAGGAATTTGTAAATATTTTAATGTTTTAGTGTGTTTTATAATGTACACTGCCACAAGATATATTATTTTATTCTGATAGCTGTTACATTAACTCTGTTCACTGTATGATGGTCTTTGACCGCAATAAGCATACTATTCATTTAACTAGCATAACTAATATCTAGCACAACTGATAACCAATGCTCCCTCTGTGGAGTCTTGTGAGCAAAAATCCTACTTTGTGAGCTACCGGCATTAAAGTTGTGAGCGGGCGACTTGGCTACTGCATCAATTAGTTTGCTCTGGATCCCTCCTTCCTGAGCTAGGACAAAAATGTGTAAGCCGGAGGCTAAAAAACTGTGAGCTAGCTCACACTGACTCAGCTTAGAGGGATAACTAGCATAACTAATAATATAACTAATCGCCTTCGACAACATAACTAATATCCATTGATAGAGCAGTGAGACACGGAGAGCCTCTGTCCCAGTGCGGCCTCACCGTGTTTACCCAATGAATCCTGTTGACGTGTGTTGTACAGGGAGGGACTGATATGTGCCAAGCGGCAGGACGCTCTGGGGAGCAGGGCCTCGAGCCTCGCGCTTACCTGTGCCTGAAGGTCGAAGGTCAGCATGGAAAAGCAGAGGTTCAGCATGAAGTACTGGGCCTGCAGGCTCTCCAAGGCCCCGCCCACCCGGAAGGCCATCATGCTCTCGCTTTGAATCAGGATGACAGCGCAGATGACGTCAAAGGCGCCAACCAAGAGGATCAGGACAAAGCGGGCCTGGCAGTGAAGCAGAAGGGGGTGGTCAACCACAGGCCGTCCATCCTCCCCACGGCTCTCCTCCCCCACGAACAGCCACCGGGGGCCCTCGAATGAGCCAGAATGGAGGTAATGCAAATGTCACTTAACTCTTCTTTTGTCGTTTAACCCTTCATACATTCAGAACATCCATAACCCCTACAAGGAACCGATGGTGGAGAGATGTGAGAGCCAGTTTGGTACAGTGGTTAAGAGCGTGGACTCTAATCTGGGAGAACTGGGTTTGATTCCCCACTCCTCCACACAGCTGCTGGTGTGACCTTGCGTCAGTCACGAGTTCTCTAAGAGCTGTTCTCTCAAGAGCAGTCTTCGAGAGAGCTCTCACAGCCCCACCTACCTCACAGAGTGTCTGTTGTGGGGAGGGGGAGGGGATTGTAAGCCACTCTGAGACTCCTTTGGGTAGCGATTTTTTTTTGAGGAGGAGGAGGAGGAGGAGGAGATTGGATTTATACCCTGCTCTTCACTACCCAAAAGGAGTCTCAGAGCGGCTTACAAACTCCTTCCCCTTCCCCTCCCCACAACAGACACCCTGTGAGGTAGGTGGGGCTGAGAGAGCTCTGACAGAAACTGCTCTTTTTCAAGAACAACTGTGCCAGAACTATGGCTTGCCCAAGGTCATCCAGCCAGGTGCAAGTGGAGAAGTGGAGAAGTGGGGAATCAAACCCGGCTCTCCCAGATTAGAGTCCGCGCACTTAACCACTACATCAAAATGGAATTTAACATTGGTTTTAAGCGTTGCCTGTAATTCTGCTTGACTGTTTGAAAAGCGGTTGTTCTTAGTCTGTCCATTTTCACGGATCACTTTATGGACTTTTTTGAATTTACTGCATGCAAATACTCTTTGTTGGTCTGTTCCCCCCCCCATCCCCCCCAATGTATCTTGGAAATAGATTTGAACATTTTAATATGCACTTGCTGAAGAAATCCAGTTAATATAAATAAGTATCACCTCTGCCGTGTCCATAACATAGTTAAGAGAAAAACAAGGATGTAAGTCGATCGTTTTTTTTTTACAGGGAGATTTCACCACAAGGTAAGAAAACAAAGATATGCAAAAACATGCCATGCATTTTTCTGGCTCTGAGTAAATAGTAATTGGCAGGGCTCTTTTTGTAGAAAAAGCCCAGCAGGAACTCATTAGCATAATAGGCCACACCCAACATCAGAAATTCATTAGCATATTGGACCACACCCCTGACAGCACAGCTCATTAGCACATTAGGCCGCACCCCCATGTTACCAGAAGTGTGGTTATCCAGCCATACCCACCTTTTGCTTCTTATTCTGTTTACCTTGTTTGTTGTCAAAACTCAGAGCTTTTTTTGTAGCAGGAACTTCTTTGCATGTTAGGCCACCCCCCCCCCCAATGTAGCCAACCCTAATGAGTTCCTGCTGTTGGGTGTGGCCTGTTATGCTAATGAGTTCCTGTTGGGCGTGGCCAACTTGGGAGCCAGCCGGAACTCCATTCCTGTGCGTTCCTGCCCAAAAATAGCCCTGGTAATTGGAATCTTACAAGTGCACACCCCCTGCCCTAGACCGGTAACAGCATCTGCCAGGATCACAAGTGTAGGGGACTTTCTCTGGGATTAGGGAGGGGCCGGGGGGGGGGGGGGGCGTGGGAACGGATGACCTATGACACTCACAATCAGCTGTGGTTTTTGCTCAGTGGAGAGGACCGTGAAGTTGATGACGGAGCGCAACATGACCAGGAAGATGGAGAGGATGAAGACAATCAGCTCTTGGCGGTTCTCCTGTAGGATCCCCCGGCTCACGTAGTAGACGCAGAAGACTGCCAAAGGAGAAACCGATCCGTCAGTGAGCGCCAGAGATGCGGGTGGGGGAAGGAGCCCAGCCTGAGCCAAGTGGGAAGTTTGCCACTGACGTCAACCCAGGCGTTGCTTCATTTTCAGGAGGTCTATCTGGATTTATAGCGTTTCTCTTATCTCGAGGGCACGGGGAGTAGGCAATACCTATTCCTCAGAAGCCGATAAGCCTGTCCTGGGGAGGCACTACTCTTAGGGTCGCCAGCTATGGGTTGGGAAATACCTGGAGAATTTGGGGGTGGAGCCTGAGGAGGGTGGAGTTTGGGGAGGGGAGGGGCTTCAGAGAAGTATGAGGCCACAGAGGCCACCTTTCCAACGCAGCCATTTTCACCAGGCAAACTGATCTCTGTCGCCTGGAGATCAGTTGTCATCCCAGGAAGAAGAAGAAGAAGAAGAGAAGAAGAGATTGGATTTTATACCCCGCCCTTAACTTGGCGTCTCAGAGTGGCTTACAAACTCCTTTCCCCTCCCCTCCCCTCCCCACAACAGGCACCCTGTGAGGTGGGTGGGGCTGAGAGAACTCTGACACAAACTGCTCTTTTTCAAGAACAGCTCTGACAGAACTATGGCTTGCCCAAGGTCATCCAGCAGCTGCAAGTGGAGGAGTGGGGAATCAAACCCGGTTCTCCCAGATTAGAGTCCGCACACTTAACCACTACACCAAACTGGCTCTCCAGGAGATCTCCAGCCTCCACCTGCCAGTTGGGAACTGTCATGTACTGTGTTACATGGATAGCCTGAATTGTAGAATGAGCCTGAGCTTCAGTCACAAGCTCCAGACTCTCAGTATCCTAAAATCAACAGCCTGATTGGCTGCCATTGTGCAATGGACCAATCAGGGAAGACTACGACTTTTGGCGGGAACAAACCCTATTGGTCCTAAGCACTCACTTACGATTGGACTTTATTGTTCAAGGGGTGTGGTTTAGCCAGCTCCAAACTGTATATAAGTTGGGGTTGTTCTGTGTTGTTCTGTGTCCTGCTCTAATAAACTGAAACCACTGATTAAAGAAAGAGCTGCCTGATCTTGAGTTACAACAGCAACCCTAGCTGCTCTTGATCTAAAAGTAGGGAGTAGAGTTCGGGGTCCCCAGATACCAGCTGCCTAGAGCAGGGGTCCCCAAATTTTCTGAGCCTGCAGGCATATTTGGAATCCTGATACAGGGTGATGGTCAGAACAAACCACAAAATGGCCGCCGGAGGCGGTGAAGCCACACAGGGAAGCCGAAGTACAAGGGAGAAAGGTAAAAAGGTAAAGGTTCCCTTGCTCGAAAGCCAGTCAAGTCCAACTCTAGGGTTGCAGTGCTCATCTCCGTTTCAAAGCCAAAGAGCCAGCGCTGTCCGAAGACGTTTCCGTGGTCATGTGGCCGGCATGACTAAACACCAAGGCGCACGGAACGCTGTTACCTTCCCACCGAAGTGGTACCTATTTATCTACTTGCAATTTCTTGCTTTTGAACTGCTAGGTTGGCAGGAGCTGGAACTAGAGACGGGAGCTCACTCCATCATGTGGCACTCAAACTGCTGAACTACCGACCTTCCACAGCCTGCAGTTCAGCGTCTTAACCACTTGAGCCACCACAAGGGAGAAAAGGGGTGAATTAAAAAGTACAGCGGAAAAGAGGTGACAGATGGCAAAGCATGCTGGCGACCACAGCCACTGTTAATTTGCATTAGCCAATCGGCAGCCCTGCTGGAAAAGAGGCCCACCTGGACCACTTTCTCAAAACACTTGGTGGGCACCCAGAAAGGTGTTGGCTGGCGCAAGTGGTCGGCCATCGTCTGCTTCTGCGGAGCAACCCTGGGCTGCCTCGGTGGTCTCCCGTCCAAGAACTCACCAGGGCTGACCCAGCTTAGCTCTCCAGATCTGAGGAGATCGGGCTAGACTGGGCCGTCCAGGTCAGGGTTCAAATAGTATTAAAGAGAGAAATGTTGGGGAGGGGAGATGGGAGCGTGGCTGGTATTTTCGGGTCTGTGGGGAGCTCGGAGTGTCTTGGGGAGCTGACGTCCCGCCTTTTGACCTGAGACTTTCGAGGTGGCCTACAAAGTAAAAGTGTGCTGTTTACAAGCACTTGAGTCCTGACCTGGATGGCCCCAAGCTCGCCTGATCTCATCAGATCTCGGATGTTAAGCAGGATCAGCCCTGGCTAGTACTTGGATGGGAGACCACCCCAGGGTTGCTACGCAGAGGCAGGCAAGGGCAAACCACCTCTGAATGTCTCTTGCTTGGACCTGGGTGTCCCGGGCTAGCCTGATCTCTTATCAGATCCCGGAAGCTAAGTAGGGTTAGTATTTAGATCGGAGACCACCAAGGAAGTCCAGGGTTGCTACGCAGAGGCAGGCAAGGGCAAACCACCTCTGAATGTCTCTTGCTTGGGCCTGGGTGTCCCGGGCTAGCCTGATCTCTTATCAGATCCCGGAAGCTAAGCAGGATCAGCCCTGGTTAGTACTTGGATGGGAGGCCCCCAAGGAAGTCCAGGGCTGCTCCACCGAGGCAGGCAATGGGAAACCGCCTCTGAACGTCTCTTGCCTCAAAAACCTGTTGGTTTGCCATAAGTCGGCTGCGACTCGAAGGCACATTCCGCCACCAGCGCAAGCAGTTTAAAATAGTAAGAAAAGCATACGGAGAAATCAAGCACAGAACAAAAACAGCATCTCAAACCAAGAAAAGGGAGTTTAAAAAGAGGGCCATCGGCTTACTGGGGGGGGAGGGGGGGGAGAATTCGGCCTCTGCACCTGACTCCCACAAGCCCTTGGGTCTGGCTCAAGGAGCTCTGGAGAGTTATGGTCTGTTTATCAAGCTGATCTGCTCTTTCTCCCCGTTCTGACAGCGGTTGTCCATCATCCAGGAGAAACGACTCCTCGCCTCGGTGATAAGAACAAGATGTGTTTTCCCCTCCACGGCCGTGCCAAAATCAGATCACATCCAGATCTAATCGTTGTTGAAACATAATTAATATTTAGCCTGGGTAATGTTTTAAGAGGCGAGTCTCGGTGTTCTTTCTCATTGTGATGAACTGCCCTGTGCGTTTGGTGCTGATATTTTTTATTTGTGGTCATTGTCTGGGCCCTCTCTTGCTGTGGCCAGGGGCTGGCGCCTGTCTCTCACAGGGCCTTGGGAAATCGGCAAGCAAAACAGGGGGGAAAGCATAAAATGTGGCCTGGGAGCATTCCCCCACCTGTGACTCCTGGCTTTCTGTTTAAGAAAGTGAAAGCAGGCTGCTAGTCCTGCTGTGGTAGGTTTCCCAACTCTGAGCTGGGAAATCTCTGGAGCTTTGGAGGCGGGGCCTGGTAGGGTTGCCAACCTCCAGGTGGGAGCTGGAGATCTCCCGGGATGACACCTGATCTCGAGGCGACAGAGACCAGTCCCCCTGGAAAAAATGGCCACTCTGGAAGGTAGACTCTATGGCATCATACCCCACTGAAGTCCCTCTCCTCCCCAAACCCCGCCCTCCTCAGGCTCCACCCCCAAAATATCCAGGTATTTCCCAACCCAGAACTGGCAGCCCTAGACCCTGAGGAGGGCAGAGTTTGGGGAGGACAGTGGGGTATAATTGTATAGGCTCCACTCTGCAAAGCAGCCAGTTCCCCAAGGGAACTGAGCTCTGTCATCTACAGATCAATTGTAATACCAAGAGATCTCCAGGCCATAAAATATATTTAAAAAAAAAAGATCTCCAGGCCACACCTGGAGGCTGGCAACCCCACCTTGTGGCACTGAGCGGCCCGCAAACAGGCCTGCCCAGGAAACTGCTGAGTTTCAGGTAGCTCCTTAGAAACACTTGCCATTTTATCTGACCTGCTTCTGATCTGGATTCTGGTCTGCTGGTATATGGTTGATGATTGACCACTTTATAGAATAGCGAAAGGCTTTTCGTAGATACACAGGTCTCATGCCTGAGGGACTTACAAAACCTAATTTTTGGCAGTGGGGAAGTCAGCCAAGAAGGGTTGCCAGCTCTGAGCCAGGTAGGGTTGCCAAGTATTACCTCGATCCGGAGCGGGGGACTCCCGGGTCGCTCCCGGAGCGCGCGCCGCATCCACGTCACACGGAAGTGACGCGATCACGCGGGGCACGCTGCGGGCGGGGCCATGACCATCTGAGGGGAAACCATAGAGTTTTCGGGGGGCCCGATCCGCCGCCGGCGGGGAACGGGCCTCTGGGGCGGGGGTTTCCCCGCCCCCCGGGGGGACTTGGCAAGCCTAGAGCCGGGAAATTCCCGGAGATTTTGGGACGGACGGAGCCTGAGGAGGAACCTCAGTTGGGTATGACGCCCCACCCTCCAAGGCAGCCATTTTCTCCAGAGGAACTGAGATATGTTGCCTGGAGATCAGCTGTGATTCTGGGCAGGGGCCGCGGCCCAGTGGCATAGAGCATCTGCGTGGCAGGCGGAAGGTCCCAGGTTCAATCCCAGGCATCTCCGGTTAAAGGAGCAAGCAGAAGGTGATGGGCAAGACTTTTGCCTGAGATCCTGGAGAGCCACTGCCAGTCTGAGTAGACAAGACTGATTTTGATGGACCGGTGGGCTGCTTCGGTAGGAGGCAACCTCATGTGCTCGTGTGTTCAAGATCTTCAGGCCCCACCTAGAGGTTGACAACCACCCTACGACAAGGTGAAGAAGAACAACCAGGAGAAACCGGGACAAATGCAGACAGACGGATATTGGCTCAGACCACAAGCACAGATTCCCCAGCTCTGTTGAGACTGCAGCTCAGCGGAGGAAGAGGGAGGAGCCAAGCCGTTGGAGCTGGCGTCCCTCAGTAGCCTCCCAAGCTCAGCATCAGGAGATCCCAGACAAACAGGCTTGTGCCACCAACCTGCCATACAGCCTGAAAGATCAGATGCAAATCTGGGCAGCTCTCAGCTGTGGGAAGCCCGCAGGCTAAGGACTGGTTCACACACAAGGTAGGCAGAGCCACGAAGGGGGTAGGATGGACTGCTCACCTCCACAAGTGGTCAGCTTTGGAATCTCTGAACGTGCTAAAAAAATTCCCCTGCAAGCAGAAAACTAGCCCCGCAGGGAGAAAGGTTCAACTCCTCTCACACTCTCGGCTCGGTATGCTGGGCTTTCTACTTGCAGAGAGCTTTTCCCCATAAGAGAACATGCCAAAAGGTGGTGCTCCACCTGTGGTCAGACGTGGGGCATCCTAATTTGGACTACCACAAGTGGTCAGCTTTGAATGTCTGAACGTACTAAAAACTCCCTGCAAGTAGAAAACTAGCCCAGCAGGGAGAAAGGTTCGACTCCTTGCACATCCTAGGCTTGCTGTGCTGGCTTTCTACTTGCGGAGAGCCTTTCCCCATAGGGGAACGTGCCAAAAGGGGGTGCTCCACCTGCGGTCAGAAGTGGGACATCCTATTTGGACTGCCTTGGGGCTCTGCCACTTCATCCCCATACCCACATGAACCGGGCCGAATTCTATGCTGCCAACCGACAGGTCTCGGCATGAACAAAGCAGCCTGCCTGGTCTCTCCTCTGCTCCATGCATGTTGGGGGGTTTTCTACCTGGAGGAATTTGAACTCTTCCCGGAATCAGACCTGGACCTCAGATACCCGGAAAGGCAATTTGTAAATATGTCAGGATTTGGGAGGAAGAAGTAAAGGAAGATGTATTAATGGTTAGAACGTGATTTAGAGGGAGTTGCATGGTGGTTTTATACGCGGGTAAGATATGGGAATGAGCAAAAGAAGAGGATACAAACTGGACTTGGATTAAGTTTAATTTGTTGGTTATACAGATGGAATGTAACCTCATTTTTTTTGGTTAGATTATGAAATAGAGTACAAATATATATTGTATGAAATAGTTCTATGAAATGTATACTCAATAAAAATATGATTTAAAAAAAGGATTTGGGAGGACGCAAAGGTCAGCAAATGAATGGGGCATCCCCTGCTTCCTGGCTACGCACCAGTCGGGATCTGCCACTGCTGCCTGCTGCGCTCCTTGGAACTGGACAGTGCCAAATGCCTTGGAAAGGGCAGCACCAACAAATCAGGAAGCTATCAAGATCCCCCCCCCAAGACGATTAATGGCTTGAAGGATCACAGGTAGGCAGTGAAATAACTCAAAACGCTTGCTGTGGTCGGGGAGGAGGAGGGAGAAGAGGACGGCCAGGAAATCAACTCATGCGACAATCTATCCTGGTTTTATCCTGCCCGGCTTCCAGGGAGGTTGGAGTGGTATGCGTGGTTCTCTCCTTCCTCCATTTTAGCCTCTTGACAACCCTGTGAGGTAGGTTAGGGAGTGGCTGGGCTGAAAGATCACCCGGTGGGTAAGTTCCATGACCAAGCATTTGAAACCAGGTCTCCCCCCCCCCCAACGCTGGTCAATTACTTGCCCAATTGCATCATGGGATGGCTCTCGTTGAAAGACTCAGTGAGGCTAAGAACACACCAGAGTGACGTGCAACCTGAACTTGTGGCACTAAACTGAAAGCCACCATCCGGCCGTTGCATTACCATCTGCTACCAGTGAGGCCAAACTGGGAGCAGCTTCCTGGGCAAAAAACACCCCCCCCCCATTGTGAGAGGCAGTTGGGCACAATGGTTAGAGTGTTAGACAAAGATATGAGCGACCTGGGTTCAGATCCCCAGTTTGCCATAAAACTAGCATGAAACAACCTTGCAGGGTTGTTGTGAGGATAAAATGGAGGACGGGAGAACAACATGCTCCGGGGTGCTACCAGGTGCCATCAATAAGGCCCAAAGCAGCCAGGCTTCCTTCCAACTAGTCTGGATCCAGCTCTGTCGGAGAAGCCACTGCAAAACAGGAGGGGGGGCCTTCACCACCAGTCTTATTTATTTTTACGTATTTACGTGATTTTATATTCCGTCTTTCTTTCTGGGACTCAAGGTGGATTATTCGGAAGAAGTCAATACAACCAACAGGGTGGGACAACCAATAGACGATGCAATAGGGTAGGACTTGTAGAAATCTGGAGATCAACCAGAGAGCAGAAACAGGGATGAAGCAAAGCATTAATCTTTGGTGTAGTGGTTTGGAGCACGGGCTCTAATTTGGGAGAACCGGGTTTGATTCCCCACTCCTCCACATGAAGCCGGCTGGTGTGACCTTGGGCCAGTCACACGTTCTTTCAGAGCTGTTCTCTCACGAGCAGTTCTCGAAAGAGTTCTCTCAGCCCCACCTACCTCACAGGGTGTCTGTTGTGGGGAGGGGAATGGAAACGAGATTCTAAACCACTCTGAGACTGGCAGAGTGAAGGGCGGGGTATAAATCCAGTCTCGTCGTCTCTTCTTCTTGACATGACATGTTAAACAAATGCAAAAAATGCATTCCAGAAGCCTGCTTACAGCAACAGATAGTACAATCTATACGCAATGGGGTAGCCTACGGTCCCTCAGCCTTTACCCTAAGCCTCTTTCCGAGCTGTTTCTTACCGACACCGATGAGCTGGATGAGAGAGACGGTGAAGTCTTCGTGAGTCTGCTGCACGAGGTTCTCCACAGTTAAGCCGATGACGCTCAGCAGTGAGAGGATGGTGACGCAGAAGTATATCTTGACAGGAGAGGACAGCTCTGACCACGGCTTGATCTGCAACGAGAGGGCACTGACAAACTCTCTGAGGGTCAAGCCCGAGTGAGGGGCTGAATGGAAGGGCCCATCAGTGGGACTGCAGTGTGGCTCCAGTATTGCTGACATCACTCGGGTCCCGCCCAGTGTTCCCACTAAACTGAGTTAGTGTGAGCTAGCTCACTGTTCTCTAGCCTCCGGCTCACACATTTTTGACTTCGCTCAGGGGGACTCCAGAGCAAACTACTTTATGCAGCAGCCAAATGGCTCGCACACAACTTTAATGCCAGTCGCTCACAAAGTAGATTTTTTGCTCACAAGTGTCAGGACCCACAGCAACAATGAAGTACACGCTTGCAGGAAGGTCTTACTTTATTTAAAGCTATAGATGCATGGACAGGAACACTGTTAGGAATGAGGGGGGGGAGCAATGAGCATGGCATGTTATAGTACATTCAAACAACTGAGGCCCAATTGCGGGAGTTCCCCCGCACGCCATCGGGCCTGGGAGCAAACGCTTCCAGGCGGCACAAGCTATCTCCTTCCCACGGTTTTTCGTGAGATCACCCAAGCAACTATGCAGCAGCAACCACCTGTGGCCTTGAGAGATATAGACGTTCCAGCCGCTAAGCAATTAAGTGCATCAACAGGTCTACATATGAAAGTGAAAGCAACCAAGCGCATACATGAAGGAAAGAAAAAAAACATTGGCAGCTTGCTGACAAAAAGACTTCACAGCTTAGAGGGTCCCGTCCCCCCCGCAATTCAGATTAGGGCTCTGGCATGGAGGGGCATTAAGTGCCTCCCCCTTCTCTTGTGTACTTACTCACAGCTGTTACTTTGCCCCACTTGGGGAAAGATGTACAGGTGACCCTGCCTGTATGCTTCCCCCAATGGGGCAAATAGCTGGAAACTCGCCCCCTCCCCCAGAACACTTGCAAGGGGCCACTTCTTCCAAATCCCTCCTTTCCACAAAGCTGTGGCATAGCTCCCGTTCGCCCAACTGAAACTAAGCCCATGGAACTGGACTGAACAACACATGCGTCCCCCTGTTTATCACCTGTCTCCATCTCCCTTTATCTGTTTTCAGCCAAAGTTTAGACTGCATGCTCCTCAGGGCAGGAACCTGTTTCTTTGGACTCCAGGGAGTTCCCATGCACAACTGGTGACACTATGCTAAGTAAGACATTTTATGCTTGGGTCAACCAGTGTCCCATTTTCGCCCAGGTTTTGGTAACAATCAAGAGTTCTTGGGCTACATGTGTCCTAACTGCCAGAGTTCTGCCTGTTGGAGAAACAACAGAATGATTTTGCTATGAGTGGGCACCGCAGCTGAATATAGCTAGCAAGAGACTCCAGTACTTACAGGGCCGCATGGCGTAGGGATAAGCTCTTGATGTCTTGGAGTCAGGTTTGGCAAGGGAGGGTCTATGGTCTCATTCAGCAGTGGAGGGGCCGGAGTCTCCTCAGGCGGGGAAAGGAGAACCCTGGCAAGGGGGAAAAATGGCTGGAGTTAAAAGCAGCCAGTGAGATGAACACATTTGGCTAGCATGTTGGTTTCTCCCTTGCTTATCACTATAGGTCGGCCCACAGATCTTTCCTGAAGATACCACCTGTTCCTCAAGGGTAACTGACTTTAGCAAGGGATAGCCCTTACACCGTGGAACAGATTAAAAATGTTGTTTTGCTTGAAAGGATATTTAACTGAAAAAAGTTGTAAAATCGTGTCTAAGGCTTCTTTGTTGTGTATTGAGATTCATTCCCCCCCCCTTACATCCTGACCTGGATAGGCCAGGCAAGCTTGGTCTCATCAGATCTTGGAAGCTAAGCAGAGTCAACTCTGGCAAGTACTTGGATGGGAGGCCTCCAAGAAATACCAGAGGCGGGAGGCAGGGGTAGGCTTTATTCAGCCACCTTTCTGAACATCCTCCAGGCCCCCAGTAGAGGTCAGTCACCAGAGGTTGCCCTGGCTTCCAGGTGCAAACACACAAACACACACATACACACACACACACACACACATAAGAAAAAACAAAAATACCCCAACAACAAAATGCATTTTTTTCTGTAATTCTATCTGTGATCTAATGTAAGATGCTTTGGGCCATTGGAAGAAGTGAGATATATTTTTGTCAAACGAACACTGCATGTACAGACAGAAACAGACAACATGGTTCAACCATGAGGTTTGATCCTATCGGTTGCCGGTGGTGGAGGATACAAAGCCGGGGGGGAAATTTGGTTGATTCACCTTTGCTCTTAGAGAACAATCTGTGAGATGGCATAGGTGTTGTGTGGCGTCTATTTCTCTCTGTAACACTTAAGTGGGTAGCCGTGTTGGTTTAAAGCAACAGAACAAAGTTTGAGTCCAGTGGCACCTTTAAGACCAACAAAGTTTAATCTGGGTAAAGGCTTATATTCAGAATTAAGCTTTGTTCGTCTTAAAGGTGCCATTGGACTCAAACTTTGTTCTATCTGTAGCACTGTTGCGTTGTTTTGAAGATGAAAGCTGACCAAGATGCTTTCCTTGAGATATATAAATATTTAAAATAAAATAATATTACCCACTCACATTACTGTGAACAAATCACCCTGCAGAGCTCCAATAATTGCAGAACAGGCAAGAGCTATTTTGCACGATTCATTAAGGTTGTGTTTAGTAAGACACTATGTGTTTGTGCACACACAAACACACACATGCACATGTGATATTCTTCCAGCTACTGTGCAAAATAAATTGTCTGTACAATTAATCATCTGAAGTAGAATAGACCAGGAAGGTTAGTTGACTGTAACTCCCCACCATAAAAGTGTGATCCTATTAAAGTTCAATAAATAAATACTGACGCACTCCCTGGTTACCAGTTTTGAAGTCCTTTTGAAAACATAACAAATACAGAATTATGGCACTGAGTTGGCATAGAGAAAGAGTAATAACTGCATGTGGTAATGAGAATATGTCATGGGAGACGGGGGAACAAATTCATCCTGGTAACATTTGGTAATATCATTCACTGAAAGAAATCTTAATTAGGAGTTTTAGATGATTGATTAACCCAACACATCGGCATATATTTGCATATAAGTAAAATTAAATGTTTTGAGGAAAAACAGCACACTTTTTAAAAATAAGATCATGCATCAAGTGTAGCAGTTAAGTTCTATTTTAGAAAGTCATTTTCTTCCAGTGTGCCTCTTCTGAGGATTTTAAAATAAGAACTTTGTAATATCTCGATGCCTTATAGATTTATTAGGGCACAAACTTTCTTGGACTACTGACCACAACCAGTTAGTTGCCTGATGTGCATCCATCAGATTATTACTAATACACATGCACACAGATAATATGCTTCAGGTAACTGATGAAGAGCACTGTAGTCCATGAAATACAGCAAACATGTATGGGGGGTAAGTAAGCAGAGTAGACTACCACCTTCTGAGTTGCCTCGCAAAAAGCACATTGTGACATTTGCACAAAAAGTTCAAATTACAGAGGGCAGTCACAGTGACCCTTTACAAACGCAAACACTCTCAGTGTGAAAGGAAGCCACAATCACAGTTGAGTCCTAACCGGACAGTATCAACCTGTTGAATTCAGCAGCTTCTCACAATGACGTCAAAACGCATATAGCCTTTAATACTGAATGTTTAAAAAAGATCTGGAGAGCACTTTCGTTTCTTAAACCGATTACAATGTTTTAAACTGATTAGTCAATTTTAAAAAGTTTCATTCCTAGTTTAGATGGTCATGATGCCATTGAACTGAAAATGACGCAGGTGAGGGGAAACAAAGCCTGCGTGGTGACGTCACAACAGGGGCGTGACGCAACAGTGACGTTCCATGCAGAGCCCGCCCCCTTTTAGGATGGGACAGCGCCAGACTCGGACGCGCTCCTTTCGTAGCGGACCACAAAGAGAACTCGCCCTACCAGCCAACGAGCTCCTCCCTCCACCCCCCTGCCTACGGGTCCCCGCGAGGCCCAAGGCAGCCGCTACCTAGTATCAGGCGGTTCCATGGTGACGACGGCTGGTTACATGGCTCAGTAGGAAGGTGAGCGGGTACCAGCTCCACTTCCGGATTTGAGGTACACTTCCGCTGGGTTGCGAACCACAGAGATCGCGCAGGACTAGAGCGGCAAATCCATACACGATTGCGGAAAAACGCCATTTTTCGTGACTTCTCTGTGGGAACTCTAGGCGTCAACATCCCTATCATGGGGGGGGGGGAAATCCCTTCATCCGTCTTTTACACAGAATTGGAAGTCCAGTTCCGGCCCGGCTGAGATGACGGGACGCCCTCATAGAGATAGAAAAAGTCACATATTGTCCGTATCGCCATTTCCGGGGTAAAACGGAACTGGATATTCCACCCGAAATTTTCGACGTAGCTTTCAAACGTTGACCGGAAGTGTAGACCGTGGGTGTCGCTCTAGCCTTCTAACTTTATAGTCTCGAGGTTTTTCCCCTTTCTTTATACCTGAGGCGCTCTACGTCACTTCCTGACAGGCTTGGCTTCATTTTACCTGTGGTTTTGCTTTTGTTCCTTCTCCGGGCGGAGAAGAATAGCTCCAAGTTCCCCTCTTGATACAGTTTACACACATTCATATCTGTAGAACAAAGTTTGAGTCCAGGGGCACCTTTAAGACCAACAAAGTTTTATTCTGGGTATAAATCTTGAGTCCAGTAGCACCTTGAAAACCGACACCTTTAAGATCAGCAAAGTTTTATTCTGGGGATAAGCTTTCGTGTGCATGCACGCTTCTTCAGATACAATGAAATGGAAATTACCAGTCCATAAAGTAAAGGTAAAGGTTCCCTTGCTCGAAAGCCAGTCGAATCCGACTCTAGGGTTGCGGTGCTCATCTCCGTTTCAAAGCCGAAGAGCCAGCGCTGTCCGAAGACATTCCCGTGGTCATAGGTAGAGAGTAATTCCCATTTCATTGTATCTGAAGGAGCGTGCATGCACACAAAAGCTTATCCCCAGAATAAAACTTTGCTGGTTTTAAAGGTGCCACTGGACTGGACTCAGATTTTGTTCTGCTGCTTCAGAACCATATGGCGACCAGCCCTGATCTCTATATTAAGAGAACATAAGAGACGCCAATGTTGGATCAGGCCAAAGGCCCATCCAGTCCAACACTCTGTATCACACAGTGGCCAGAAATACCAGGGGCCATCAGGAGGTCCACCAGTGTATATTCATAACCGTACTGATCTTATGGCTGGAGGAAGGGACGGGGGAGAATCTCCTCCCTTCATCTGGACTAGGAACTTGATTGTTTCTCCCTTAAATCCATTAAAGAGGCGGAATCCACCTCTTCGGCTGTCTGTTAAGTTCTTCCTCCAGTGGAACACGACAGGGCTGGCTTTTGGTCTGTTTCCAACGGGGTGTGCCTCTCTGCCAGCCTCTGAGTTGCCTCGGCTGAACTAGGAACTTAACTTTTGATATAAATTTGAGCGTGAGGACTACGGTTGCCAACTCTGAGTTGGGAAAGACCTGGGGAATCGGGGGCGGAGCCTGGGCGGGGCGGGGCTTGGGGAGGGACTTCATCAGGGCTTGATGCCATACAGTTCACCCTCCTCCTCCATAGAGAGAGGGGCCGCTTGCAATCTTTTGCTCCGCCCGGGCGGAGGAGGAGCACTCGGCGTGTGGACGACGGTGGCCGCGATCATGGCTGGAGAAGGAGAAACCCGCGCGGGAGAAGAGGCAGGTGGGTATGTCGGGGGCGACTGCGGAGGGATGGGGCTGGGGGCGTCCCCGTGCATTGCAAAGGGGGGGGGGGAGGTTTAGCAAGAGATCATGCATGCATGGGGGGGGGGGGCGCTCCTAAAAACACTTGCAGTGCTGAGCCCCGGAATCTATTTCCAGGGGCGCTGGCTTTCGAACCGGAGGAGCAATATTTGCATTTTCAGATTAGGGTTTTGTAGGCGGAATCCCTGATTATAAACGCTGGGTTTCATCTAACCCCAGATCCATCGGCTCCGGAACATGTTTCGAGGGCCAGCGTTGCATAGCGGGTGTACGTCTACCAGCTGGAGAGTCGTGGTGTTATTGTCCTCTGGAAGCGATCCCGGATCGTGTTTGCGGCTCCGTTCTTGCCAAACCCGACCTTTGCCTGGACGGCTGGAGGGTTTTGCCGGAGGGGAATGGAATTTACCCCAGGGCGTTAGCAGAAATTGCGGGCTCGGGACGTTGTTTATTCGTGCGAGTCGGTTAAGACAGATGGGAGTGGACCAGAGGCTTGGTCTCTTTACCGGGCTTTCCGATAGCTCCAGGGATCGGCAGCCTCCCAAACCTGTTTCCGTCCAGCCCCGATATGGATTCAGCTTCACTCTTCTCTCTTTCAAAATGAATACTTTGCATCCCCCCATAATCAAAGTGACTTGCAGAGTCTGTGATAAAAATGAGTCCAATTAGAGAAAAGCGACTGCAAACGGGAAAGGGGGAAAGTGCTGTGTTTGGGTTCTAAATATAGGCACCTGAGTCAGGAAACGGGAGGTTTACCTCTTTTATAACTTGGGAATCGCTTTGCTGGACCAAATCTGGATCTGTCAGGTCTAGAGCGGCCTTTACCTGCTGCTTTCCGTCCAGATGCCGTTGCAGATGTCAGCGAGCCGGCTTCGGCTGGGAGGGCGGGGTATAAATCTACAAATAAATAAATAAATAAGGGCCTTTCCCTCTTGGATTAAAAACATAAGAAGAGCCCTGCTGGATCATACCAGTGAGAGTCCATCGAGTCCAGCCTCCTGTTTCACACAGTGGCCATACAACAACAACAGTACAGCACACAGTAAGAAGTAACAAAGAATAACAAAGTGGCCAGTCAGTTCCTCTAGAGAGCCAACAACAGGGCGGAGAGGCTGGGGCCTTCCCCTCATAAGAAAACAAGATGAGCCCTGCTGGATCAGACCCAATGGTCCATCTAGTCCAGCATCCCGTCTCACATAGTGGCCAGCCAGTTCCTCTGGAGGGCCAACAACAGGGTATAGAGGCTGAAGCCATTGTAAGAACATCAGAAGAGCCCTGCTGGATCCGGAAGAGCCCAGTGAGAGTCCATCTAGTCCAGCATCCTGCCTCATGCAGTGGCCAACCAGTTCCTCTGGTGGGCCAACAACAGGGCATGCAGGCCGAGACCTTCTCCCGATGTTGCCTCCTGGCTCTGGGTTTCAGAGGCTTAATTCTCTGAATGTGTAAGTTCCCCTGAGTCACCATGGCTAGTAGCTATTGATAGACTTATGCTCCGTGAATCTATCTAATCCCCTTTTAAAACTGTTTATTCCTGTGGCCATCACCACATCCTCTGGCAGCGGATTCCATATTTTAATCATTCATGCCCCACCATCCAATATTTGAAGGTGCACTGCACTTGAACGTGGAAGTTCTGGTCTTAGCCATTCTGACTAATAGATCTGCCTTAGCACAAATGTATCTGATTAAGTGTACAATAATCTGCCTCGTTGGATCTTACCGGGGCTGGCCAAATACTTCTGCTGAGGCCAGAGCACAAGGATCTTCACTGTGTTGCTGTGGAAAGCTGCAGCAGCCATTTTGTGGCTGTCTCCGCCTCCTACAGCAGCCATTTTGTGGCTGTCTCCACCTCCTACAGCAGCCATTTTGTGGCTGCGCCCACCAAGTTGTGTCAGAATTTGAAAGGTGCCTGGAGGCTCAAAATGAATGGAGACCCCTGTTCTGTACCATGAATGAGCTATAGGAGAATGTCTGACTGAACAGCTCTCGTCATTATATTATGGTTTGATCTTGGGGGGCCAGAATTTTGGCCGTTCACTCAGGTGTTGTTGACAGTTCCATCTGGCTGACCTTCTGCTCCAAGTATTTGGCTGGAGATTTGCTGATCTCCACAGCTACAATTTATTGTTAAATGCTTAGGGCTCTACCTGCCAGTCAGAGAATCTTGAGTTTTATCTTCTGTATTTTAGAGAAGGTTGACTGGCGAGCCATGCCTTCTGGTTGAGATTTAGATTTCTGTGAGGTTGGGCAGGGCAGTTATATGACTCAGGAAGGGCCAGACTGAATCAGAAAGGAACGAGGAGAAAATACTCCTTCATTCTAACTCGCTTCTGTCTTAAAACAACCCTGTCCTTCCTGCATGTTGCAACAAATGCTCTACTTAGTGTGATGAGCTTTCTCAAACAGTTTTTTTTAAAAATTAAGGTTAAATAACTTGCCCAAACAGTCTGCTCAGTTTTAAATTTTTCTTTATTCTTTTAATCATTGTAACAAGAAGTTACTGAACACTTTTATTTAGGAAATATCTAAATTTAAGAAGTATCTGTAAGAAATATCTAAATTTAAGAAGTATCTCAATGGCCAGTTTAGATTTCAGTCGTTGATTTAAACTGGCTAATTGAAATGGCCTTGATTTTAGCCCAGCGTCTTGGCAACATCCAGCTTAGATTAGTGTAACACACTGCATGGACTTTCTACCCTTGAAGAGTGTTCTTAGAATACAACAAGAGTGGAATATGGCTTTGTATAGAAATACTGCTTCTATATTCACATGCCTTCTCCTGTGATGTCTTTTGATAACATGCTGTGTCTTATTTCCTGTTGCAAGCCAAATGGTGAGGCCACATGGCCTCAATAGCCATGCCATAAACCCACATTCTTTCACACTGTCATGCCAAAAGCCAGACCTCATGGCTACACTTTCTGGTCCACATGCGACAAGTCACGTACTCAATGAAGTAGCTGGAGTTGACTGCAGGCGGGGTCTCCAAACTCCTAGCCAATCTATACACACACCTGATGTGCAACTATGGCAACCAGAAATTGGCCACACCCCCCCGCTACTCTGATTGGCTAAAGGCCACGGCTAGTCATGATTAGCTTGGGGTATAATTGTTTGATCCCTATGGGAGTGAGTCTCCTCTTCTTGTTATCGAGTCTCTTGTTCTCTTAGCTCTTGCTGCCTGTTTTATTGCACCTGAAATGCTGCCTCTTGGGAGACAAAGGCCCTGGTCACACGGCAAAGTTACCCTGGGAGAGGCACAGAAGGTGGGCGGATTATCTGGGTGCGATCACACCCCAACATCTGGGAAGTGGAGCGCACCCGTAGCTTACCTCCGACAATGCGAGTTAAAAAAATTGTACCTCCAAGGTACTAGTAAACGTTTGCCACGGGCTGCCTCCAGACGCCCGTGGTGTGATCGTGCCGGCACGCGGCATTCCCCTCCAGTCCCTCATTTACCTGCCAGCACCGAGGGAAAAACCTGTGGTGTGCCGCTGGCGCGTCTGATCACGTAATCGCGGATCAAACTGCGCCGGGGCAATTAGCCACGCCTCCCCCCCGCAATATCCGGCCCGTGTGCCCGGGGCCAAAGAGTTGCTTTGTGAACTGGAGCACATGGTTGTGCAAAGATGGGATTTCTCCTCAAAATCCCTTGGTACTTGGACTATTTTGGACGGATACTCCTGATTTGGTAACTGTGAATCATTAATGTTTAGTTAAGGCAAACAGCCCTAGCCTTTGTTATTTTTGTAATCTCTGATAGTCTATACTAAGCTCTGTACTGAATAATGATCCTTCTTATTTCTAATTGTCTCTGGTGTTGTAACTTGAACGCCAAGGCTAAATCTTGTGGCTAACTCTGACCACTTAAGCTACCTTGTAAGAGTAAAGCGTGCATCTCTGGATTGAGTTGCTAATGTGTTCTGTCCCAGATGCCAACTACGGGTTTGGAATCTCTTCCCTTTGGAAAAGCAGGGACTAGTGAAAAGAGGTTCTGGTGGCAAATTGTCTGGAAACCAGAGAGGGTATAGAACATCTCGTGATTTGTTGTTTAATGTACTGAAAAGTACAGGATTCCCTCTCAGCCCTGGACTGACTGCATGGACTTTCTGCCCTTGAAGAGTGTTCTTAGAATACAAGAAGAGTGGAATATGGCTTCTTGATTCCATCCTATTTATTTAAATTTACTTTATTTATACCCCACTTTTCTCGTTGAGACTCAAGGTGGGTCACAGAATAATACAGTTTCCTGTGTAATGAAAGACAAATTTCAGTTTTATGTCTGAAATGTCCTAAGAGAGCCAGTTTGGTGTGGTGGTTTAGGAGTGTGGACTCTGATCTGGGAGAACCGGGTTTGATTCCCCTCTCCTCAACATGCAGCTGCTGGTGTGGCCTTGGGTCAGTCAGAAGTTCTTTCAGAGCTGTTCTCTCACGAGCAGTTCTTAAGAGAGCTCTCTCAGCCCCACCTACCTCACAGGGTGTCTGTTGCGGGGAGGGAAAGGAGATTATAAGCCGCTCTGAGACTCCTACGGGTCATGAGAAGCAGGGTATAGTCTCTTCTTCCTCTTCTAAACAGACCATATCAGAGACATGAGCTTGCCCCTTGGGCCAGCCACTGTTTGGGCCTTGGAAAAATTAGTGGGTATGTGGTTTGTTTGAGAGCCAGTTTGGTATAGTGGTCAAGTTCGCGGACTCTAATCTGGGAGAACCAGGTTTGATTCCGCACTCCTCCATTATCAGCTGCTGGATGACCTTGGGCAAGCCGTAGTTTTCTCAGAGCTGTCCTTGAAAGAGCAGTTCTCTCACTCTCAGCCCCACCTACCTCACAGGGTGTCTGTTGTGGGAAGGGGAAGGGAAAGGAGTTTGTAAGCCACTCTGGGACTCCCAAGTGAAGGGCGGGGTATAAGTCCAACCTTCTCCTCCTTCTCCTTCTCCTTTTTCCACCCAGACTATGGAACTAC